CAGCTAAAGGCACAAGCCTAACAGAAGCTCTTACAGTGGATCGACATGCTAGCTCAGCAAAATTTCTAAGGTAACCAAGCAATCTAGAGTTAACCTCACCCTTAATCAATCTTAATTACTCTTGTCAAGGGGGTTGGCATACATGTCGACAGTTCCTTGCTTGATTTTCAATAGATTTGTCTAATCTTTAAAGAGTTCTCCTCTCTCTCCCATCCCAAATGGTAAGTAATGTTTATGAGAAAAAGCTCAAAGAGCACAAGGAAAACAAGTAAGCATGAGGAATGCATATGTCTGTACCTTCATGTCTTATGGAATACCTTAGTCAAACAAGGAACAAGCTAAAGACTTATCCTGTGGTTGAAAGAAGGGTCAATAGAAAAAATAAAATGATACCCTAGAAAAGTAGGGAGAAATTGACCTTTCAAAGTTCTGATGTGAGAAAGAGAGAGGAAAAGAACTCATTGCACTTAAAGACAATCTTGGAGAGGATCAAGTGGGTAAGAACAAGTTCAATTGATCGATGTCCCCTTGATAAAGAATTCACGCTTTAAATTTATGCAAGAGGTTAGCAATAGAGAGTTTGGATTGCTGGATGAGACTAGTTGGGTTGGTATTGTTCGCTAAACTTGCAGGGTGTATGTGAAGCTAACCTTATGTTGTCTATGTTCATAGTGGAATACAGGAAAGGAACCTTTCACAGGATATTCAAAAGAGCAAGGGAGTTCCACGTTTTCAAACCTCTTTCACGGATTTAGATTCTTTTTGCTTGAGGACAAGCAAAGATCTAAGTCTGGGGGAGTTGATATACCTCTAATTTACCCACTTTTTATACTGTTTTAGCATTGTTTTCTAATGGTTTTTGGCAGGTTTTCTATCTAAAAAGGTAGTTTTACTGTGTTTATAGTGTCTAGAGTCTAAACAGGTGAAATGATGCATTTTGGAGCAAAACCATAGGATTTGCACTTCAAGCAGCTCCATGCACAAGCACCAACTTTAAGAGGGCCCAGAAAAAGATCTACTCAATGGATTTCATCAAGACCAGTTCCCTGCGTGCTCTGATTGAGTTAACTTTCCAACGCAACTGGAACGGCCTAATTTGGATGAGTAGAAAAGGAGTTATAACCAAAAGAGTGAAGACTGTCCAGACGGCTCTATCGAGAATCAGCGCCCAACCGCGCAGTCCGGCTGGCCGAGGAACGATGTTCCGCGCTCGGCCAAAGTCATCCGTCCGACTGAAGTCTCGGCCAAAGTTCCAAACCACCGGCCGATCACGCAACGCGACCCGGGAAACATTGCCCGCGGTCGGCCAAGCCAAACGCTCACGCCACGCCGCGCACGACCAAGCGCGCGAGCCGGGAAACAAGCCTCGCGGCCGCGCAACCCGTTCGCGTACCACGGCCGATGCATCCGTCCGAGCCGGGAAAGAACGTCCCACGTCCGGCCGAGAAACCATCGGCCAAATCTCAATCCGTCGACCACGCCGGCCGACCGTGAATCCATCCGGCCACGACCGTTCCGACTCGCCCACGACCCGATTCCGGCCGATCGTCCCGCACGACCGTCCCAACGCCGCGGTCGACCCGAAGCCCTTTTTGAAGCCCAAATTCATATTTTCAAGCCCGGCTTAACCCTAAGCCGCCTCTAGAAAGACCTAGCACTATATATATGGATTTTTAGCCTCTTGTGAAAGAGAGCCGCCCTTGTATTTCGATTTCATACTTTGTTTTATTGCAATCATGTTTTCTTCATCTCTTTGTGTTTTTGCTTTGATTATGTCTGAGTAATTCACTAGTTAGGTTGTGAGATCTATCAAAGAGTTCATGGTTTGATAGGTTGTTAGAAGTCACATAGGGTTTATCATATCGCATCTTCGCCTCTGCTTGAATTCATTGCTGCTTGCTTTTCTGATCAACTAGCATCAGATCTTAGGTTTCATATACTGATGCGGCATCTATGGGATGAGTACAAGTAATAATTCCCTAAGACAACTAGTGTTGCAAGTGCACAACATATAATTGTAGTATTTAGGGGTCGAACCACAAGGGATTGGATTTCACACATTACATAATCATAGAGTTTAAATGACTAAGCTAAATCAAAAGATGCAAGGGTTTGTGTTTGTTTAGAACACGCAAAAGAAATAACAATGCAATTCTATACAAGCAACATTATTGAACTATTGAAAACTCTTTTGAAAACATGAGCCAAGTCGATTGAAAAGTTTGTTAAAATCCGATTCTTTTGAACTCAAAACACTAAGGAAGGATTATTCCACTTTCGTGGTTCCAATCCCCTATGTCTCTTAAACCAATGGGCTCAGCTTTCGTTGGTCATTGTAGAGTGAGACATGCATTACATCCAAGTAATGATTGTTCACAAAACTCTTTAGGTCTACTTTCGTAGCCTAAAACGATTTGCCCATCAAATATTGTGTCCGGAGATATAACAAGCTTTTGGAGAGTATATCAACCTAAAATCAAGTCACTAGTTAGCTACTCTAGCAACAAGCATTAAGCATAAATAAAGATGGAGAACCATAGGGTTTCCCCTTTTAACAATCGATTTTCGATGGCCATTATATCACGTCCTCATTGGAAGGATCCATAATTCAACAATGAGTCTTAGATAGTAGATGAAGTCTCATGAATCCTTAGAGAGAGAGGCGGCGGAATATAGACTAAACCACGCCTCACCCTTAGGGAGAAATCTCTACTTCTAGACTATATAAATTGAAACATGCAAGCTATATACAAATGCAAAAGAAGAAAAGAAAGAAGAAGGAGACCACCTAAGTGGCTCCGAACTTTATTGAATAAGTGTTTCTTGTTATGCGGCTGGTGATTCTTATTACAAGAGGCTAAAAGCAAGTATATATAGGTAGAGAGCGGGTCTAGGTCGGCAAAGTTGAGCGCGCGCAGAAGAGGAAAGTTTCCATTTCTCTTTAGCCGCTTGAGCTTGCTCTCCAAGTTCTTGAATGGGCCGCGTTCAGGCCAATGGAAGCTTCTGGATTGAGTTATGCTAGTGTCAAGATGAGCCAAGGCCTTGGGCGCGGTATCTCGGGCCTCTTGATCCATCAAAGTCTCCATGGGCTCTACTTAGGCGCTCGTCGGACATGTCTTGGTAGAAAATAAGTTCCGGTCCAACGAGTGATCCAAATGACCTCTTTCCACTTCGCCGCGGGTCATGACTCAAATATCTATCTTTCCATATAAGAATCATGACTTTTGGACGTCGGGAAGGCATGAATATGCGGTCGTACTTCGGATGCTCCGGTTTGGTCTTTAGCGAGAAATGTAGATTTTGGTGCTCTAGACTTGGGAACTTGGTGATTTGACTCTTTTTGCTCCATTTTGACTCTTCTTTGCTATTTTGACCTGAATGATGCTCAAAACCAGAATATACAAGAAAACTACCTCTTGGGCATAAAAACCACATTATTTGTATTAAAAACATAGTGAAAACCTTGATAAAAACATGAAAGATATGGGTATATCAACTCCCCCAGACTTAGCCTTTTGCTTGTCCCCAAGCAAACTAAGAGAGGAAGAGAGGTTTGAAAACGCAAGAACTCTCAAATCATTAGGAAATCCGGGTTGGCTTGGTTTTAGTAATCCACATGAAAGTAGTAAAGGCAAATATTTGAATTAAGAACAAGAGTACATACCATGAGTTTTGCGATTTTTCCAAGGCGGCCCACCTCTCTTTGGACAATCCAATTCACCCTCCTTGACTCCTTTCATTTCTAAAGGTGTGGTCTCAACTAGGGAGTATCGATCAGCCGGCTTTAGACTCTTACTCATCCCCTTGTTTTGGCACTTGTCTTTTTACTCCATGTTTCTCCTCTCTCTCTTCTCACTTCTTTGAGTTGACTCATCCCTTTTTTAGGGTAGCGAAGTATTTTTTTATTCAACTCCTTCTCTTTATTATAGAGGTTTTGCTTGGATCTTCCACAGACGCGAGTATTGATGGTGTTTGCCACCGAATCCCCGGTTGCTTGGATTCATAGGCCTTCCATAGACGCGAGTATTGATGGTGTTTGCCACCGAATCCCCGGTTACTTGGACCTTACGCTTTTTCTTTAAATTTGAAGGGGAGAGAGAGGGAAGCACGAACTCACTAAGACTTTTTCATTTGATGGAGAGGATGAGGAATCATGCCATTTGTATGCCAAGCCCCTAGCTGAGAAGATTAAGTTCATTAAGGGCGGAGTCAAGAGTGGATCCTTCTCAAGTCCTTGGAGGTGTGGGCGTTTTTGGTAGATCGATCAACTCATAGTGTCCCTGTGGTAAGATGTATTGCCAAGACTGCTTCAATGGTCACTTAAACGTTAGCACAACAATGGTTAGATCCAAGATAAGGTCATAATCCTTTGACAAAATTTTGACTCAATAAAACGACTCAATGAAATTCAAAAAGAACAAACTTGTTAGTAATCCCCCCAGACTTAACTTGCACCGTCTCGGTGTAAGAAAAATCCAATTAAGAGAGGTAATGATAAATATAGAATGGAAAAGTTAGAGTTTGTAGAAAATTGTACCCAAATTTTTGGCCTTTGATGTGAAGATCGGTTGTGCTTGGTTGCTTCCAGGAATGAACTGACTGGTGCAAACATCATAGCTGTTGGATTTGGTTGGATGAATGTGACAATTCTCCCTTGGTTTTCTGTTTTTCGCCTTTTTGGCCGAGACTGGTCCGTTTTGGTCGACCGGATGGTGATGGTATGGACTACAGCTCGAACCGTGAAGATTTCCTCGACCTATCTTGAAATTTCGTCGACCAATATTGTATAATATGGCGACTGGTGAAGTTTGGGGTCGTTTGAACGAGTGGTTTGAGATCTCCTTTGAAAAATTTTCAAATTGGCTCCGGGAACGTCTTCCTTCGGTCTTCTCCAATTCTGCTCGTTCCAATCGGATTTTCTTCTTTAGATGCGATGTGGATGCTTGATTGAGGTGATTTGAGCCGGTGGCCGCGGTAAATGCCGTGATTTGGATTGTCGGCCATTTTACTTGCTCGCGATCGGCCAAATTTCACTCCATCGGCCATCTCTTGAATTGTAAGGAATTCATTGTACTGAAATGAATTTCATCGACCAACCTTATGTTTTGTGGCTCCTTGTGAAGTTTGAGGCGATTTGAACGTGTGGATTCGGAGATCTTTCGTGTGCGCGCCAATGGCTCGTGATGTGATTCCTTTGGCCATCTGTATTCTGTTCGATCGTCTCCTTCCTTTCTTCTTCCTTGGTGTTTTTTGGACTCCAGAGGATCAGTTTCCACCGGTGTTCGCGCCTTCTTGAGGTTTTGAGTTCGTCGGCCATTCTATGCATCGCCGTCGGCCGTATTGAGCTTCCTTCGTCTATCTCACGTAGCAGGCACTTTTTCTCGTCCTATCTTTTGGATTTGCCGACCAAAATGATGTTTTGAGGTCGCCTGTGAAGTTTGGTGGACTTCGGTCGTGCCGTTTGGGAGATGGTCGAGCATTGTCGCTTGGTTCGTCGATTCTGGCCGAGAGAGTGGTTGTGATGTGATATCTCCTTTTTACTCGGGCCAATTGAGTTCTGCTTCGACCGAACTGTTTTTCTATCCCTCCTGGATTGAATTGTGGTTGGATTTCCCTCATCTCTCATGTTTGGCATGTAAATCCTCCTTTGGCCGGTTGTGGCTCCTTTGCGCGCCATGTTTGTATGATATTTTGAACCGGTTTCCTGTCATGTTTTATATCTGAAAAACACTAGTAACTTTTGTTAAACTCTGTCAATGATTGAGTTGTTCAAAATAGTTTGAACTTCCCAATCAAAGACTTGATCGTGAAACCATATGTACTTGGATCTTGATCAGAAATCCAAGTAGTGTGTATGGTTTAATTTGATAGAAATAGTGTTTAAAAGAAATGACATAAGAATGGAAGTGATACTTACCTTTGCCTTGTGCAATAGTGTTCCAATGGCCGGATTTTATTGTGCCGCGGCCCTTCTTGGATTCTTTGCTTCTTGAAACATGGGTGGGACTTGGGTGGGACTCAAACTAGACTCAATGCTTCACTTAGACCAAAGATGGTTGATCCTTGGGCCGATTGGTGGCGATGTAGCTTTCCAATGCATTTTTCATGTAAGCCTCCTTTTTGGTACTTTTTCCTAAAACACTTTTTATTTTATTTTTGTAAAATTTATTAAACTCTCAAAAATTTAAGAGTTATAAATAGAACAAATAAGTAGTTATAAAAATAAAAACAAAAATAAAAAGAGGAAGGGATAAGAAAATGTGGGTTGCCTCCCACAAGCGCTTGTTTTAAGTCTTTGTAGCTCGACTCCTTTGTGTTCTTAGTTAGGTAGGATTGGTGGCTCCAAGAACTTCCTGTTGCCTGATGATTCCAAGTGCATCTTGTCCTGTAGAACTTCCTTGATCAAGTAGCCATGCGACTCTCCTCTTACTTGTGAGCACTCTCCTCCACTTGTGTAGCGAAATCGCTTGGATGAGAAACCGGGAGGTGCAGCATCGTAGAAGGTGTCCTTGTCAACATTGGCTAGAGAGATTCTTCTATTAGGCCAATCCATGATCGCTCCAGCTGTGGCTAGGAATGATCTTCCAAGCAAAAGCTTTAAGTCCTCCGGATCCTTCATGGTTACTACATAGAAGTTGGCTGGAACTATGCAGCCTCCAAAATCAAGCTGAATGTCTTTAACCTCTCCAAGTGGTTCGGTCAATGATGAATCAGCTAGCTTTAAATCCATTCGAGATTTCACAATTGAATTGATCAATCCCAACTTCTTGGCTATCTCGGCCGGCATAAGGTTCACACTAGAACCGGAATCGCAAAGAGCATCATCAAAGTAGCTTCCATTGATAGAGAAATGTATAAGGAAGTAACCTGGGTCATGAAGCTTGTGTAGAAACCTAGGTTTAGGCATCCCCTTTCTTGCTTCCTCGTACATCTTTTCCAATTCAGCTAGACTCCAATCTTGTGTCCAAGCTAGGTCTTGCATGAATGGACTCTTGTTGCAAGCATTATCAAACGGCACACCATAAGGGAATCTCCTCGCCATAAAGTTGAAATCATCTATGATCTCTTCAAGTGATGATCTTGTCTTCCTCTTCTCCTTGGTGGGAGGCGGTTGTGAAGACCTTTGAGTAAGGGTTCTTCCTTTTGGTGCTATCTTCTCTCTTGTTCCAGTGGTTAGCTTGTGGCTCTTTCTTGATCAGCTCTACTTTCTTCTTCATCCCAAATCACTCTTGGGTCGGTCTCTCTTATAGTAAAGACGGGCGCGGCATAGTTTGTGCTTAGGAACGGTCGTCTTTGTCTCGGTCAAGACCTTCTCTTCCAAGTTGGCTAAGCGAGTGGTTAAATCCTTGACTTCCTTGGAGACTCCATCTACTTTGTCTTCAAGCCCTCTAGCTCTTCTTTGAATATCTTGGCTCCTCTTGTCTAGAGAGATGTGTAAATCTCGGATTTGTGCCTTCACTTGTTTTTGCCCTTCCACCAATGTAAGCATTGTCGAGTAACATTGCCTCTCCTTTAGTGTCACTTCGGCTACCTCCCTCTTAGCTTGATGAGCTACTGCTGTTATTGAATTGAGACTCTTGGTGGTGCCATCGAGGTTGTTATCAAGACTTGAGATCTTCTCATCTAAGTGATTATCCATCTCCTTGGTAGAAACTTTGGTAAAGTGTATCGCTCTCCTATTGTCTTCAATGGCCTCGCCTTGCTTCTTCAAATCTTCCTCCATGTCCAAGCATCTTGACTCTACTCTCTCTATTTGGGTAGAGAGTTCTCCAAGTCTTCCATCTAGTTCGTATCGCGTGAACTCTAGCTTTGTCTCAATGTCGCGGCTAGTTCTTCTTTGGCTCTCCATGAAACCCTCAAGCACGGCATCGAAATGGCTATCTCTCCGCCTATTGAGAACATGGTCGTGGTGTGAATGCAACACTGGTCTAGGTGGTTGATGATAAACCGGAGGTCGGTTTTGATGATGATGGTAATGATGCTCGTCTCGGCTAGGTCCTTCAAACGTCGGATGAGCGCGGTTGGGAGGGAACGGATGTGGCACGATGCTTACGGCTGGGTCTTGGTAACTCCGGCCGTGGAGATCGTGTGGGATCAGTGTCCGGTTCCCAAAGTGGATGTTGGTGTTGTGATTCATCTCCAAGTACCTATAAACACAAGATTTAAAAGAAAAAGTTAGTATTCGAAAATACCAAGATCTAGACTTAGTTTTAAACAAGACTATGCAAGTGTTTATGATGCAATCCCCGGCAACGGCGCCAAAAACTTGATGCGGCATCTATGGGATGAGTACAAGTAATAATTCCCTAAGACAACTAGTGTTGCAAGTGCACAACATATAATTGTAGTATTTAGGGGTCGAACCACAAGGGATTGGATTTCACACATTACATAATCATAGAGTTTAAATGACTAAGCTAAATCAAAAGATGCAAGGGTTTGTGTTTGTTTAGAACACGCAAAAGCAAATAACAATGCAATTCTATACAAGCAACATTATTGAACTATTGAAAACTCTTTTGAAAACATGAGCCAAGTCGATTGAAAAGTTTGTTAAAATCCGATTCTTTTGAACTCAAAACACTAAGGAAGGATTATTCCACTTTCGTGGTTCCAATCCCCTATGTCTCTTAAACCAATGGGCTCAGCTTTCGTTGGTCATTGTAGAGTGAGACATGCATTACATCCAAGTAATGATTGTTCACAAAACTCTTTAGGTCTACTTTCGTAGCCTAAAACGATTTGCCCATCAAATATTGTGTCCGGAGATATAACAAGCTTTTGGAGAGTATATCAACCTAAAATCAAGTCACTAGTTAGCTACTCTAGCAACAAGCATTAAGCATAAATAAAGATGGAGAACCATAGGGTTTCCCCTTTTAACAATCGATTCAAGATGGCCATTATATCACGTCCTCATTGGAAGGATCCATAATTCAACAATGAGTCTTAGATAGTAGATGAAGTCTCATGAATCCTTAGAGAGAGAGGCGGCGGAATATGGACTAAACCACGCCTCACCCTTAGGGAGAAATCTCTACTTCTAGACTATATAAATTGAAACATGCAAGCTATATACAAATGCAAAAGAAGAAAAGAAAGAAGAAGGAGACCACCTAAGTGGCTCCGAACTTTATTGAATAAGTGTTTCTTGTTATGCGGCTGGTGATTCTTATTACAAGAGGCTAAAAGCAAGTATATATAGGTAGAGAGCGGGTCTAGGTCGGCAAAGTTGAGCGCGCGCAGAAGAGGAAAGTTTCCATTTCTCTTTAGCCGCTTGAGCTTGCTCTCCAAGTTCTTGAATGGGCCGCGTTCAGGCCAATGGAAGCTTCTGGATTGAGTTATGCTAGTGTCAAGATGAGCCAAGGCCTTGGGCGCGGTATCTCGGGCCTCTTGATCCATCAAAGTCTCCATGGGCTCTACTTAGGCGCTCGTCGGACATGTCTTGGTAGAAAATAAGTTCCGGTCCAACGAGTGATCCAAATGACCTCTTTCCACTTCGCCGCGGGTCATGACTCAAATATCTATCTTTCCATATAAGAAACATGACTTTTGGACGTCGGGAAGGCATGAATATGCGGTCGTACTTCGGATGCTCCGGTTTGGTCTTTAGCGAGAAATGTAGATTTGGTGCTCTAGACTTGGGAACTTGGTGATTTGACTCTTTTTGCTCCATTTTGACTCTTCTTTGCTATTTTGACCTGAATGATGCTCAAAACCAGAATATACAAGAAAACTACCTCTTGGGCATAAAAACCACATTATTTGTATTAAAAACATAGTGAAAACCTTGATAAAAACATGAAAGATATGGGTATATCATATACTCTCCAAAAGCTTGCTATATAACCTGAACTAAGTATTTGGTGAGCAAAACTTCATAGACTGCGAAAGTTGATCTATGCGTGGTTGTGAACAATTGGGTCTTGAACGAACTATTGCTTGATTTAATCATCTAGGGACATACCAAAACTTTAGCGACTAGGTAGATTAACAAAGGGGTCGGAGCCTCGACAGTGGAAAGATCATACAATCGTGACCTGAGTTCTAGATAGCGCAAACCCTAGTGAACCTTCTAATATCTTGTTAACCTTGAATCTCTGCGAGTTTCTCATTGCCTAGCGTTTCCCTCTATTGATTTTCATAAACCGTTTAATCTGCTGTTTTGATCTCCCTTGTTACACAATCAAAAACCCTAAATCATACTTGTTTCTAGCTATATTAGACTTGCAATACTCGAAGTGTACTTATCTGCTCCTTGTGTTCGATACCCGTTTACTACTTTTGATCTGTGCACTTGCAGAATCAGGGATAGGAAAAGGGAAGACCTGACCCCGCGATCAGCAAGGACGCGCGGCCGCGAGGCGTTGCTTCCCGGCTCGCGCGGCATGGTCGTGCGCGGCATCGTCTTGAGTGGGCGTGGCGTGGCCGACCGCGGGACATTGCTTCCCGGGTCGTGAAGTGCTCGGCCGGATGGTTTGAACTTTGGCCGAGACTTAGACGGACGGATTTGATTTGGCCGAGCGGAACATCGTTCTCGGCCAGCCGCTGCACGGCTTGGCCGCTGGTTCTCGATAGAGCCGTCTGGACAGTCTTCACTCTTTTGGTTATAACTCCTTTTCTACTCATCCAAATGAGGCCGTTCCAGTTGCGTTGGAAAGTTAACTCACTCAGAGCACGCAGGGAACTGGTCTTGATGAAATCCATTGAGTAGATCTTTTTCTGGGCCCTCTTAAAGTTGAATGGAGCGGCTTGAAGTGCAAATCCTATGGTTTTGCTCCAAAATGCATCATTTCACCTGTTTAGACTCTAGACACTATAAACACAGTAAAACTACCTTTTTAGATAGAAAACCTGCCAAAAACCATTAGAAAACAATACTAAAACAGTATAAAAAGCATGTAAAATAGAGGTATATCAACTCCCCCAGACTTAGATCTTTGCTTGTCCCCAAGCAAACAGAATCTAAATCCGTGAAAGAGGTTTGAAAACGTGGAAGCTCCCTTGCTCTTTTGAATATCCTGTGAAGGTTCCTTTCCTGTATTCCACTAAGAACATAGGCAACATAAGGTTAGCTTCACATACACCCTGCAAGTTTAGCGAACAATACCAACCCAACTAGTCTCATCCAGCAATCCAAACTCTCTATTGCTAACCTCTTGCATAAATTTAAAGCGTGAGTTCTTTATCAAGGGAACATCGATCAATTGAGCTTGTTCTTACCCACTTGATCTTCTCCAAGATTGTCTTTGAAGTGCAATGAGTTCTTTTCCTCTCTCTTTCTCACATCAGAACTTTGAAAGGTCAATTTCTCCCTACTTTTCTAGGGTATCTTTTTATTTCTCACTATCAATTCTCAAATTAAGTTCATAACTTCCGGACTGGTTTTTTACTCAATAAAACAAGAAAACATGAAACAAAGTAACTAAAACATAAGAAAAGAAAGAAAAATGCATTAGTAACACAATAAAACTCCCCCCATACTTAACTTGCACCGTCCCGGTGAAAGAAAATAACATTAAGGTGAGAGGTAATTTCCTGGCACATTTTACATAGTTGGTAGCATGTTGATGTACTTGCATTTTACATAGTTTTAGCACATCTTTTATGCATCTTTTGCATAGTTTTAGCTTCCATTTGCATCATATCTTGTTCCTTTTCTCTTCTTATGCATTCATGTTAGTTTTAGGTTGCATTTGCATACATATGCATGTTTGGTCCTTTGAAATAGGTCTTTTGGAGCATTCTGGAGCATATGGGACATGAGGAGCATGGAGGGACTTGGCACATGGAAGCAGCTCAACTGGATACGCAAAGGAAGAAGGGAGAAGCCATCTTGAAGACCAGCTCGACCGTCTACTCGACCAACCGGTCGAGTTCCTCAACTCGACCGGCCAAGCTTCAACTCGATCGAGCTGAGAAGTCAAAGTCAAACCCGAAAAATGTTGCTTCCCCCTTGACTTCCTTTGACCCTAAACCTAATCCTCTTTGTATTTAAAGGCTAAGCCACGAAAAAACCACCAAGCTTTAGATTATTTTGTTTTAGTTTCTTTTAATTTATTGTCTTTTACTTTTTAGACTCTAATCCCATCTTTGTGTTCTTGAAGCTCTTGCTTCTTGAATCTTAGATCCTGGATAATCTCTTTGTATTTGCACTTGCTTATTTCAATAAAAGTTGTTTAATTTCATCTCCTCTTTCTTATGATGTCTCTTTTATTGCATTTGCTTGTGTTTACATTCATGTGTAGTGAGTAGTTACCCATTAGGGTTTGAGATGGGATAGATTAGAGGTTTCATATGCTTAATCCTTCTAGCTTATGGTCTTAATCTAGATTCTCTCTCTTTTGGATAGATCTTAAGGCTACATGACCACTACCCCTGGCTTGTAAGTCCTTAGGCGATCCCCACACGGAAGTGATGGCATTCGCTGGAAAAGATCCACTAAGAGCTCCAATATCTCTTGCTCTAGAAATAGAGGTCTAAGGGGTTGGATGGATTAGTTTGGGCAATGATCCTATAGCCTCCAAGGTTTGATTCTCACTGGCTAACCCCCTGTTTCTGAGATCATTCCTTGGTTGATAGCCTCACCTTGGGAAAGGGTTGGCTAGGCATTGAGAAGCCCAATATCAAGAGAAGCCTTGATACAAGGAGTTTTAAGAGCTAGATTGATTAAGTGTAGATTCCTTTGATTGCAAAACCCTGTCTTGAACCCTAATTCTCTCTTATTTTTAAAGTCGTCACCTTTAGCTTTTTTCAACTCGACCCTAAACTCGATCGAGCTGGTACTCTGTTCCACTCGACTCGAGTCTTGGTCGAGCTGTTGCTTACTGCTTTATTTACTTTTGCACTGCATTTCATTTTCATTTAGGTTGTTAGTGTTACTTCAAATCTATTACTGCTTGCTTGACTTCCTGGTTGTTTCATATTCTCATAGAGTGACAAGTTTCCCATTTTGGATTGATAACCCTTTGTACTACATGACTATGATGGTTAAAGGGAATTGTTGACTGTGTTTGTGTTTGCATCTTACCACCTCATCATATACCACTGTTGCATTCCACCATCTCATTTCATATCTTTTCACATCCACACACAAATCCTATCATCAATTTGGCGCCGTTGCCGATTTGGGAATATTTTTGTTGCATTTGAGTTTCAAACATACTTGGACGATCAAGCTATACCACCCCTGTTCTATTGTACTGCTGGGTTTTTGTCTCTTTTTGCAGGTGTATGCGAACTCGATCGAGTCGGTCTACTGAAGACTTGGTCGAGCTAGACTTACAACGGGTAGAAAGAGGGTTCAGAGGTCACAGAGGGTACAAGAGGAACCTGAGGTGCTTGTTGCTGATACAATGGATGTACCAGAGGGGAATGGAAACCCTTTGGGAATGGACTCGGTCGAGCTAGGCAAACTCGACCGATTGGTCAAGGAGATGCTCCAAACCGCCACCAACAGAGACAAGGGATTGTTCCACCACCAGTGCAGAACCACAACTTTGAGATCAAGCTGGGAATGATCAACCTTGTCCAGAACAAGATGTTCCATGGATTGCCAAGTGAAGACCCCATTGACCACCTTGATGAGTTTGATAGGCTTTGTGATTTGACAAAGATCAATGGTGTCTCTGAAGATGCCATCAAGCTGAGACTCTTTCCTATGTCTCTAGCTGACAAAGCTCACCAATGGGAGAAGAGCTTGCCCCATGGCACAATCACCACTTGGGATGAATGCAAGAAGGCCTTTCTTGCTAAGTTTTTCTCCACCGGTCGCACAGCCAAGCTTAGAGGAGAGATATCCAGCTTCATCCAGCGAAACAATGAGACATTCGCAGAGGCTTGGGAGAGGTTCAAAGGCTACACAAGTCAGTGCCCACACCATGGATTCAACAATGAATCACTACTCTCCACTCTTTATAGAGGATGCTTGCCTAGGTATAGGGAGATGCTAGACACAGCTAGCAATGGGAACTTCCTCAACCAGGATGTAGATGATGGCTGGCAACTTGTGGAGAACATAGCTAACTCAAATGGAAGCTATGGAGAAGAGTATGATCGCACCAATCGGAGCTTGATGTACTTGCATTTTACATGGTTTTAGCCCTTCTTTTATGCATCTTTTGCATAGTTTCATTCACCCAAAGCATCATTTCTTGATGTTTTCCCTTCTTTTGCATACATAGTAGTTTTAGGCTTGCATTTGCATACATGTGCACGTTTGATGTCTTAATCAGGTCATTTGGAGCTAATTGGAACATTGCCTATCACTGGAGACTAGTTGAGGAAGGAAAGACTCTGTCTGCCCCATGTACGGACCCGCACTCGGTCGAGCTAGTGAGATGCGTCCGAAGTATCGTATCAAATGAAGGGTTTCCACTCCGATTCAGCCTCTGACTTCTTCTTGGAAGTTGTGGATAATTGAGTTAGCTTTCGTCTGGAGGTGGTTTCATGTCATTCGGACCAGCGGTTCAGAAGATACGACGATATTGGTTGGACTCGACCCACCAGCTCGACCGGCCAGTTTCCAACTCGATCGAGCTGCTTTTCCAGGAGTCAAAGTCAAACCCGAAAAATGTTGCTTCCCTTTGACTCCCCTTTGACCCTAAACCTAGTTTGCTTTACTATAAATGGCATTGAGCCACGAATTAAACATAGCTTTGGCTCAACTTTTAATTAATCTTGTATTTGCATTTCCCTTTTTTACTTTTTAGCCTCTCTTTGTGTTCTTGAGCTCTTGCTCATAGAACCCTAGATCTAGGCTTGTTATTGTGTTTTTGCACTTTGCTATTTCAATAAAAGTTGTTTATCTTTATCTCCTCTATCTTTTGATGTCTCATTTATTGCATTTGGTTGTTTATTTCATCATGTGTAGTGAGTAGTTCCCTTTAGGGCTTAAGATGGGATAGGTTAGAGGTTGTTTATGCTTAATCCTTCTTGCTTATGTTCTTAATCTAGAAATCTCTCTCTTTTGGACAAACCTTAAGGCTACATGACCACTATCCCTGGCTTGTATGTCCATAGGCGATTCTCCACATGGAAGTGATGGAAATCGTTGGAAAAGGTCCACTAAGAGCTCCAATAACTCTTGCTCTCGAAATGGAGTTCATAGGGGTTGGATGGATTAGTTTGAGCAATGATCCTATGGCCTCCAAGGCTTGATTCTCACTGGCTAACCCCCTGTTTCTGAGATCAAGTCTTGGTTGATAGCTTTCACCTTGGGAAAGGGTTAGCTAGGCATTGAGAAGCTCAATATCAAGAGATAGCTTGATACAAGTTGTTTAAGAGCAAGACTGATTAAGTATAGCCTCCCTTTAGCTGCAAAACCCTGTCTTTAACCCTAATCTTCGCATTAGCATCTTAAAGTTTGCACCTTTATTGCTTTTCATTGCATTTCCTCTGTTTTTACACCAACTCGACCCTCAACTCGATCGAGCTCATCAACTCGATCGAGCTCTTGGTCGAGCTGCTTTTATTTACTGCTTTTGCTTGCATTTCATTTCATATTAGGTTGTTTAGTTGTTACATCCCTCCATTTAATCATTTGGCTTGACTTTCTTGTGTTTGCATATTCTCATCTCTCACCCTTATGGATTGATAACCTCTTATACTTCAATGACTATGATGGTTAAGAGGAATTGATTGATTGTGATTGCACCATACCATCTCATCTCTATTCACCCTGTTTGCATTCCACCTCATTTCATATCATCCTTCATTCACTTCATCCACGTAAAATCCTATCATCAGAGCTCGACCCACAACTCGATCGAGTCAGACGAAAAGTTAAGAAAAGATGTTAAGGCATTGAATGAGAAGTTGGATAAGCTGATCCTAGCTCAGTCCACAATGAACAAAGTCAACTTTGTGTCTGCTGAGGAGATGGAACCAGTCCAAGAAGGGGAGGATACACAATTTGCTGAGGTATGCTACATGAGCAATGGGCAAGGAGGTTACAACAAAGGATACTATAATTACAAGTCCAACCCTGCCATGTCATACCGCAACACTGATGTTGCTAACCCTCAGGACCAAGTATATCCTCAACAACAAGCAGCTCGATCGAGTCAGGTGCCACAACATGGGTATGGTCAAAAGAACAATTACCAAGGACCACAAGGCACTTTCCCTGGACAACAAATGAATATCCCACCAGGCTTCCCCCACCAACCGCCCCAGCCTGCACCTTCACAAGAGAATGAGCTCAAGGAAATGCTAAAGCAACTACTTCAAGGGCAAGCTGATGGGGTAGTGGACACAAGCAAGAAGCTAGCTGAAATAAACTCTAAGATCGAGAACCTCAACACAAGGGTTTACTCTCTGGAGAATCATGCTTCTTCTGTTGCTGCTGCTACAAAGCAAGGACACCTACCTGGTAAAGCTATTCAGAACCCCAAGGAACAGTGAAAGGTCATCTTCACTCAAGAGGGACTTGTTGAAGAAAAGGATCAAGAAAGGGCATTGAAGATTTTTGTTTACTACTGAATGATGAAGAGATTGTTGCTGCTGAGGCTCCTGGAGTCCAGATTGATCAACTAGAAGTGCAGGCACCTACTGTGGCCATTCACACTTCACCAGTTGAGCTCGCACAACAAGANGGTGTTGAACTCGATCGAGTTAGGATTAGACGGCTCGAGCTGCTGTTCTTGCATCATCTTTGGTTCTAACACTTAGCCTTCTGCCAAAGCAAAGCCACTTTCTTGAGAGATCCCTGTTACTAAACCACCATACAAAAGAGACCCTCTTTGTCTCTTAACCCATAAACCCTTGAAACCAAATGAGTTGATTGATCTTGCATGTTTTTGGTTCACTGTTTTTGCTTAATGAATGTTAAAGGGATTTGCTGATTTGAATGCATTGTTTGAGTGACTGTGAAGTGGGATTGATGTTGATAAGCATGGTTAAATCTTAAATGAATATCTCTCACCTTGTTGCATTCTAGAATCTCTAAGTTGGACATTTAGCAAATCGCTTTTGAGGACATGTTTTTAAGTGTTGAATCAACTTGTTTTCAAACCTCATCTCTTTCTTGTTCTATTTGTTTGCTTGAGGGCAAGCAAAGGTCAAGTTTGGGGGTGTTGATGTACTTGCATTTTGCATAGTTTTAGTACATCTTTTATGCATCTTTTGCATAGTTTTAGCATCCATTAGCATCATATCTTGTTCCTTTTCTCTTCTTATGCATTCATAGTAGTTTTAGGTTGCATTTGCATACATATGCATGTTTGGTCCTTTGAAATAGGTCTTTTGGAGCATTTGGAGCATATGGGACAGAGGAGCAAGGAGGACTTGGCATGGACGCAGCTCAACTGGATACGCAAAGGAAGAAGGAGGAAGCCATCTTGAAGACCAGCTCGACCATACTCGACCAACCGGTCGAGTTCCTCAACTCGACCGGCCAAGCTTCAACTCGATCGAGCTGAGAAGTCAACAGTCAAACCCGAAAAATGTTGCTTCCCCCTTGACTTTCCTTTGACCCTAAACCTAATCCTCTTTGTATTTAAAGGCTCTAAGCCACGAAAAAACACCAAGCTTTAGATTACTTTTTGTTTTAGTTTCTTTTAATTATTGTCTTTTACTTTTTAGCAGCTCTAATCCCATCTTTGTGTTCTTGAAGCTCTTGCTTCTTGAATCCTAGATCCTGGATAATCTCTTTTGTATTTGCACTTGCTTATTTCAATAAAAGTTGTTTATCTTTATCTCCTCTTATGATGTCTTTTTATTGCATTTGCTTGTGTTTACATTCATGTGTAGTGAGTAGTTTCCCTTAGGGTCAAAGATGGGCTAGATTAGGGGATCTTTATGCTTAATCCTTCTTGCTTATGTTCTTAATCTAGAAATCTCTCTCTTTTGGACAAACCTTAAGGCTACATGACCACTACCCCTGGCTTGTATGTCATTAGGCGATTCTCCACATGGAAGTGATGGAAATCGTTGGAAAAGGTCCACTAAGAGCTCCAATAACTCTTGCTCTCGAAATGGAGTTCATAGGGGTTGGATGGATTAGTTTGAGCAATGATCCTATGGCCTCCAAGGCTTGATTCTCACTGGCTAACCCCCTGTTTCTGAGATCAAGTCTTGGTTGATAGCTTTCACCTTGGGAAAGGGTTAGCTAGGCATTGAGAAGCTCAATATCAAGAGATACCTTGATACAAGTTGTTTGAGAGCAAGATTGATTAAGTATAGCTTCCTCTGATTGCAAAACCGTGTCTTGGACCCTGATGTACTTGCATTTTACATAGTTTTAGCACATCTTTTATGCATCTTTTGCATAGTTTTAGCTCCATTTGCATCATATCTTGTTCCTTTTCTCTTCTTATGCATTCATGTTAGTTTTAGGTTGCATTTGCATACATATGCATGTTTGGTCCTTTGAAATAGGTCTTTTGGAGCATTCTGGAGCATATGGGACGAGGAGCATGGAGGGACTTGGCACATGGAAGCAGCTCAACTGGACACGCAAAGGAAGAAGGGAGAAGCCATCTTGAAGACCAGCTCGACCGTCTACTCGACCAACCGGTCGAGTTCCTCAACTCGACCGGCCAAGCTTCAACTCGATCGAGCTGAGAAGTCAACAGTCAAACCCGAAAAATGTTGCTTCCCCCTTGACTTTCCTTTGACCCTAAACCTAAATCCTCTTGTATTTAAAGGCTCTAAGCCACGAAAAAACCACCAAGCTTTAGATTACTTTTGTTTTAGTTTCTTTTAATTTATTGTCTTTTACTTTTTAGAGATCTAATCCCATCTTTGTGTTCTTGAAGCTCTTGCTTCTTGAATCCTAGATCCTGGATAATCTCTCTTGTATTTGCACTTGCTTATTTCAATAAAAGTTGTTTAATTTCATCTCCTCTTTCTTATGATGTCTCTTTTATTGCATTTGCTTGTGTTTACATTCATGTGTAGTGAGTAGTTACCCATTGGGGTTTGAGATGGGATAGATTAGAGGTTTCATATGCTTAATCCTTCTAGCTTATGGTCTTAATCTAGATTCTCTCTCTTTTGGATAGATCTTAAGGCTACATGACCACTACCCCTGGCTTGTAAGTCCTTAGGCGACTCCCCACACGAAAGTGATGGCATTCGCTGGAAAAGATCCACTAAGAGCTCCAATATCTCTTGCTCTAGACATAGAGGTCTAAGGGGTTGGATGGATTAGTTTGGGCAATGATCCTATAGCCTCCAAGGTTTGATTCTCACTGGCTAACCCCCTGTTTCTGAGATCATTCCTTGGTTGATAGCCTCCACCTTGGGAAAGGGTTGGCTAGGCATTGAGAAGCCCAATATCAAGAGAAGCCTTGATACAAGGAGTTTTAAGAGCTAGATTGATTAAGTGTAGATTCCTTTGATTGCAAAACCCTGTCTTGAACCCTAATTCTCTCTTATCTTGTTAAAGTCGTCACCTTTAGCTTTGTTTGTCTCAACTCGTCCCTAAACTCGATCGAGCTGGTACTTTGCTCTGACTCGACTCGAGTCTTGGTCGAGCTGACACTTCACTGCTTTGTTTACTTTTATTGCACTGCTTTTCATTTTATTTAGGTTGTTAGTGTTACTTCAAATCTATTAACTGCTTGCTTGACTTCCTGGTTGTTTCATATTCTCAAAGAGTGACAAGTTTCCCATTTTGGATTGATAACCTCTTATACTTCAATGACTATGATGGTTAAGAGGAATTGATTGATTGTGATTTACCACCATCATCTTTATTCACCCTGTTTGCATTCCACCTCATTCTCATTTCATTCATTCACATCCACACACAAATCCTATCATCAATTTGGCGCCGTTGCCGATTTGGGAATATTTTTGTTGCATTTGAGTTTCAAACACACTTGGACGATCAAGCTATACCACCCCTGTTCTATTGTACTGCTGGGTTTTTGTCTCTTTTTGCAGGTGTATGCGAACTCGATCGAGTCGGTCTACTGAGGACTTGGTCGAGCTAGACTTACAACGGGTAGAAAGAGGGTTCAGAGGTCACAGAGGGTACAAGAGGAACCTGAGGTGCTTGTTGCTGATACAATGGATGTACCAGAGGGGAATGGAAACCCTTTGGGAATGGACTCGGTCGAGCTAGGCAAACTCGACCGATTGGTCAAGGAGATGCTCCAAACCGCCACCAACAGAGACAAGGGATTGTTCCACCACCAGTGCAGAACCACAACTTTGAGATCAAGCTGGGAATGATCAACCTTGTCCAGAACAAGATGTTCCATGGATTGCCAAGTGAAGACCCCATTGACCACCTTGATGAGTTTGATAGGCTTTGTGATTTGACAAAGATCAATGGTGTCTCTGAAGATGCCATCAAGCTGAGACTCTTTCCTATGTCTCTAGCTGACAAAGCTCACCAATGGGAGAAGAGCTTGCCCCATGGCACAATCACCACTTGGGATGAATGCAAGAAGGCCTTTCTTGCTAAGTTTTTCTCCACCGGTCGCACAGCCAAGCTTAGAGGAGAGATATCCAGCTTCATCCAGCGAAACAATGAGACATTCGCAGAGGCTTGGGAGAGGTTCAAAGGCTACACAAGTCAGTGCCCACACCATGGATTCAACAATGAATCCTACTCTCCACTCTTTATAGAGGATGCTTGCCTAGGTATAGGGAGATGCTAGACACAGCTAGCAATGGGAACTTCCTCAACCAGGATGTAGATGATGGCTGGCAACTTGTGGAGAACATAGCTAACTCAAATGGAAGCTATGGAGAAGAGTATGATCGCACCAACGGAGCTCGACCCACCACTCGATCGAGTCAGACGAAAAGTTGAGAAAAGATGTTAAGGCATTGAATGAGAAGTTGGATAAGCTGATCCTAGCTCAGTCCACAATGAAGAAAGTCAACTTTGTGTCTGCTGAGGAGATGGAACCAGTCCAAGAAGGGGAGGATACACAATTTGCTGAGGTGTGCTACATGAGCAATGGGCAAGGAGGTTACAACAAAGGATACTATAATACAAGTCCAACCCTGCCATGTCATACCGCAACACTGATGTTGCTAACCCTCAGGACCAAGTATATCCTCAACAACAAGCAGCTCGATCGAGTCAGGTGCCACAACATGGGTATGGTCAAAAGAACAATTACCAAGGACCACAAGGCACTTTCCCTGGACAACAAATGAATATCCCACCAGGCTTCCCCCACCAACCGCCCCAGCCTGCACCTTCACAAGAGAATGAGCTCAAGGCAATGCTAAAGCAACTACTTCAAGGGCAAGCTGATGGGGTAGTGGACACAAGCAAGAAGCTAGCTGAAATAAACTCTAAGATCGAGAACCTCAACACAAGGGTTTACTCTCTGGAGAATCATGCTTCTTCTGTTGCTGCTGCTACAAAGCAAGGACAACTACCTGGTAAAGCTATTCAGAACCCCAAGGAACAGTGCAAGGTCATCTTCACTCAAGAAGGACTTGTTGAAGAAGAGGATCAAGAAAGGGTCATTGAAGATTTTTGTTTACTGCTGAATGATGAAGAGATTGTTGCTGCTGAGGCTCCTGGAGTCCAGATTGATCAACCAGAAGTGCATGCACCTACTGTGGCCATTCACACTTCACCAGTTGAGCTCGCACGACAAGCTCGATCGGCAGCTCGATCGAGTCCAACTCTAGCTCGATCGAGTCCGACCTCTTCTGTCCGACAGCCTGTTTTGCTTGATCCTTACAACCGGTTGCCGCTTCCTCGTCTCGCCTACTTAGTCAAGGTCACAAGGAAGTGATTCACAAGTTCAGAAGAGATCTCAGTGGGATTGGAATTGAGTTGCCTCCTATGGATAGCATGAGTGAGGCATTTGATCAAATGCAAATGGTCAAGGATGTTCTAGCCAACAGTGATAAAGTTTCAGAGGTCCTACAAGAGTCTACTCATCAGTTCAACCTGCTTACTTCACCCACCTTCCTACCAAAGGTCAAGGATCAAGGGAAATTCACTCTCCCTTGCACACTTGGGCATCTTGAGATTGACAATGCCTTAGTGGATTCTGGAGCAAGCATCAATCTGATCTCTCTCTCCATGGCAGAGAAGCTAGGCATTGCTGGAGCCTTGCAGCGCCCTACTACTTCAATCATGTTTGGAGATGCAACTTCTAAGTCTCCTCTTGGAGTGTTCAAGAACTATCACTTGAAAATTGGAGAATGCATCATCCAAACTGATCTCACTGTGATGGAAATGGAAGAAGAGAAGGATTTACCTCTGTTATTGGGAACCCCTTTCCTTAGTACAGTTGGCGCTTCAATAGACTTTCACAAGCAAGAAGTGATCCTTCACAAGGTGAATAGTTTGGTGTCATATCGCTTGCAGCCTAGAGGTTCAGACTTTTGTGCCACAATTGACAGTACCACTCTCAGTTCTAAGAGTCATGGAGCTACAAAGGTTGTGAAGGAAAGGGTTGACAAGGAACCAAGAGTTGGGAAGGATAAGGATGAGAGAGGACCAAGGATTGAGAAGCCACGTCTTGAGAGGGCTAGAGTTGAGAAACCACGTCTGATAGGCCACGAGCTGAGAGACTTGTTCAAGCCCCTTGTGTGCTTGATGAAGAGAGCCTTCAAGCTTTGTTTGATGAGCCACTAGGAAGGGCTCTAAAAGAAGGGGAGGATGTAGCCTCTAAGGCAAGACCAGGGATAAAAGAAAGGATCCACCAGCTCAGGCCCCTTCAGTCAAGCCATCTCAGCTCACAATGACTTTGTTCCCCACCAAGTTTGAAAATGGGAAGATTGAGTACAAGATAAGGTACAAGGGGAGATCAAGGCCATTCTCTAGAGCCAAGGCCTTGGTGACTTCAGAACAGTCCAGGGACCCAACCAAGCTAAAGGAGCTTCTGTCTCAAGTCCTCACTATCACCCTTGATGGTGGGACTAGCTCAACCAATGCCTAAGAAGGTAAAGGTCAAGCTATGGGACCTTAAACAAGCTCACTTGGGAGGAAGTCCCATGTTTATCCTTGTACATACTCTATTTATGCAATTTCTATCTATCTTTATGTTTTTAACCTTTGAATAAGTTAAGTTTAGGTGTCAAAGGAGCCAGCTCGACCGATAGCTCGATCGAGCTAGAAACCAGGGCAACTCGATCGAGCTACACAACTCGACCGAGGTAAGTTTTTGAATTTCAAATTCATAACCGTTTTCTTGGTCAAGGGAGTGGGTCCCACAAGCTGATTTTGGTCCCCCACTACCCTAATTTGATCAGAGAATCCCTAGCTTCTTGTTCCCTCTTTATTTCATCTTTTAATCTCAACCACACATCTCAAACACCCCTCTTCCCCATAACTCGATCGAATCCACCTTCTCCACTCTCCCACACCTTAAAATTTCTGAAACTCATCTCTCTCTCTTCACCACAAGAAAAATCGATTTCTCTCTTTCTCTCTTAAGTTTTTGCGATTTCTCTTTTCTTTGTTTTGCTTTGTTCTTGTTTCTGTGTTCTTCCATCATTCAAGCAAGGTATGAACCCTAAACCCTTGATTCTTCCATCTCGATTTCCATTGCTTGTTTTCTCTTTGATTTTTGATTGCATGTGTCCCTTGTGGACTTGTTCTTGAGTAATTGCCCTCATATTTCGCCTCTGCTATATAATCTTGTTAGTTTGTCACCTCACCTCTGTTTTGCCTTTAAACTTGTTGCATGTGCTTGAAAGATTGAATTTGAGTTTGGTATTGGTTAAGATGCTTGTTTTCACTAGAATTGCTCATTGTTCCATTTACTAGTTGTTCTTGGTTCAATTTGATTGATTAGCATCCTTTCCAGCTCTTAATACTTGAATTAGGTTTGGTTATACTCTGTTTTCACCCAACTCGATCGAGTTTGTCACTCGAGTTTTTTGACTCGATCGAGCTGAGTGTCGAGTTGACCAAACCGATCATTACAACTCTAATTCTTTGTAATCTTTGATGCATTTCAGGTACTTTAGTGAAGAAACAGTGTAACAGAGATGACAAACAGTGAGGGAAGTCGTGCTTCACAAAGGAGGATGGTTGAGGGTGAATCAAGCAATGCAAGGGAAAGAAGGCTTAAGATGCAAGCCGATTTGAAGAGGATGGATCAGAGGATGGAAGAATCTGATGCAGAGGGATATGTGTACTCTGAGGAAGAATCTGAGAGTGAGAGATTGAGAGGAGAGGAGGACCAAGAAGAGGAATGACCCCATTAGTAGTGAGAGTGAGCAAGGGGAGTTTGAGATTGGAGTGAACCTTGTTCAAGAGGAGGGAAATGGTTCTCCAAATGAAGAAGGGAGTGATGAGACTGAGAGTGAAGAGGAAGGAGAAGAGGTGAACCAATTGGTTGATGAAGATGATCAAGAGGGGAACCAAGATGAACCTATGGAGGAGTTGAGCCACAAGAGCAGCCGCAAGAGGAGGAGGAAGAACTCCCTATGTACCAAGAGCATTACAATGCCCTCTTCTCCATGGACTTCATGGACACCAAGTACCCTCATGTTGACACAATGAAGGCCCTTGGAATCTTTGAGGATGTGGAGCTAATTCTCAAGAACATGCACTTGGCCAAGCTTTTCTCTTATCACATGGAATCCTACAAGGAGCTCACTTGCGAGTTCTTAGCTTCAATGAGGTACCACATGTATGAAGAGGAAGATAGAGCTGATTTGGACCAAGGATTGGGATGGATCACGTTCTTGGCTAAGGGAGAGAAGAGAATGGTGACCTTTAGGCAGCTGGAAATCTTGTTTGGGTTCAACTATGGAGAGGGTACCAAGTGGAACTTCAAGGAAAAGGAACTCCAAAGGGTTTGGGCTACAATCGCTGATGGAGTGTACTCTTCCTCAAGGTCCAAGGCAGCTCAGATCAGGAGCCCAGTCTTGAGGTATGTGCACAAGGCACTTGCCAACACCTTCTTTGCAAGGAAGGCGACCGGGACCATCAACGAGGGGGAACTCAAGTTTCTTGACATGGGAATCAAGCCCATTCTCTCACGCACAAGCGATGGCAAGAGGATAAGGGGAGATAGATCTGACACAGGGAACTTGATGCCTTTCCTTGACCATCTCCTTACCTACAAGATCACAGCCTACAACACTAGACATCAACGAGGGAGGCGTCTAAGTGTTGGAGGACTCATCACTCCTATCTTGTGTGCTGCTGGAGTGAACCCAACTGATAGGAGAGCCACTGAACCAGGTTGGATGGACATCAAGTTTTGCAAGACCAACCTTCTCATTGAGCACAAGGAGTCCATTTGCATTATATTTTGTTCCATGGACACTCAAGATGTACTTGCATTTTACATAGTTTTAGCACATCTTTTATGCATCTTTTGCATAGTTTTAGCTTCCATTTGCATCATATCTTGTTCCTTTTCTCTTCTTATGCATTCATGTTAGTTTTAGGTTGCATTTGCATACATATGCATGTTTGGTCCTTTGAAATAGGTCTTTTGGAGCATTCTGGAGCATATGGGACAAGGAGCATGGAGGGACTTGGCACATGGAAGCAGCTCAACTGGATACGCAAAGGAAGAAGGGAGAAGCCATCTTGAAGACCAGCTCGACCGTCTACTCGACCAACCGGTCGAGTTCCTCAACTCGACCGGCCAAGCTTCAACTCGATCGAGCTGAGAAGTCAACAGTCAAACCCGAAAAATGTTGCTTCCCCCTTGACTTTCCTTTGACCCTAAACCTAATCCTCTTGTATTTAAAGGCTCTAAGCCACGAAAAAACCACCAAGCTTTAGATTATTTTGTTTTAGTTTCTTTTAATTTATTGTCTTTTACTTTTTAGAGATCTAATCCCATCTTTGTGTTCTTGAAGCTCTTGCTTCTTGAATCCTAGATCCTGGATAATCTCTCTTGTATTTGCACTTGCTTATTTCAATAAAAGTTGTTTAATTTCATCTCCTCTTTCTTATGATGTCTCTTTTATTGCATTTGCTTGTGTTTACATTCATGTGTAGTGAGTAGTTACCCATTAGGGTTTGAGATGGGATAGATTAGAGGTTTCATATGCTTAATCCTTCTAGCTTATGGTCTTAATCTAGATTCTCTCTCTTTTGGATAGATCTTAAGGCTACATGACCACTACCCCTGGCTTGTAAGTCCTTAGGCGACTCCCCACACGAAAGTGATGGCATTCGCTGGAAAAGATCCACTAAGAGCTCCAATATCTCTTGCTCTAGACAATAGAGGTCTAAGGGGTTGGATGGATTAGTTTGGGCAATGATCCTATAGCCTCCAAGGTTTGATTCTCACTGGCTAACCCCCTGTTTCTGAGATCATTCCTTGGTTGATAGCCTCACCTTGGGAAAGGGTTGGCTAGGCATTGAGAAGCCCAATATCAAGAGAAGCCTTGATACAAGGAGTTTTAAGAGCTAGATTGATTAAGTGTAGATTCCTTTGATTGCAAAACCCTGTCTTGAACCCTAATTCTCTCTTTATCTTGTTAAAGTCGTCACCTTTAGCTTTGTTTGTCTCAACTCGTCCCTAAACTCGATCGAGCTGGTACTTTGCTCTACTCGACTCGAGCTCTTGGTCGAGCTGACACTTCACTTTACTTTTATTGCACTGCTTTTCATTTTATTTAGGTTGTTAGTGTTACTTCAAATCTATAACTGCTTGCTTGACTTCCTGGTTGTTTCATATTCTCAAAGAGTGACAAGTTTCCCATTTTGGATTGATAACCTCTTATACTTCAATGACTATGATGGTTAAGAGGAATTGATTGATTGTGATTGCACCATTTCATCTTTATTCACCCCTGTTTGCATTCCACCTCATATCTTATCATCCTTCATTCATATCATATCACATCCACACGCAAAATCCTATCATCAGACCCTATTGTTCGTTCTAGCTAATTAAAGTCGCTGCCTTTATTGCTTTTTACTTCAACTCGACCCTAAACTTGATCGAGCTTGTTACTCTGTTCCAACTCGACTCGAGTCCTAGGTCGAGCTGTTGCTCTACTGCTTTATTTACTTACTGCATTTCATTTCTGTTTCATTTAGGTTGCTAGTGTTACCTCATATCTATTACTGTTTGCTTGACTTTCTTGTGGTTTCATATTCTCATAGAGTGACAAGTTCTCCCATTTTGGATTGATAACCTCTTATACTACATTGACTATGATGGTTAAGAGGAATTGATTGATTGTGATTGCACCATACCATTTCATCTTTATTCACCCCTGTTTGCATTCCACCTCATATCTTATCACATCTACGTAAAATCCTATCATTAGTTCCCCCCTTTCAATTCACCTTTTAATCTGAACCACACATCTCAAACACTCCCTCTTCCCCATAACTCGATCGAATCCACCTCTCCCACTCTCCCACACCCTAAATTTTCTGAAACCACTCTTCTATCTCTTCACCACAAAAAAAATCGATTTCCCCTCTTTCTCTCTTAAGGTTTTGCGATTTTCATTGTTCATCATCTTGTTTGCTTTAAGTTCTAGCTTCTGTGATTCTTCCATCATCCAAGCAAGGTATGAACACTTAAGACCCTTGATTCCTTCATCTCAATTTCACTTTATTACTTGTTCTCTCTTTGATTTTGATTGCATGTGTCCCTTGAGGATTTATCCTTGAGTCATTGCTTTCTTTTATGCTTCATATTTGTATAATCTTGTGAATTTGCCTCACCTCACCTCTGTTTTTCCACTAGAACTTGTTGCATGTCTTGTGTCCATTGAATTTGAGTTTGGTAATGGTTAGGTTGCTTAGGTTTTCACTAAAATTGGTTATTGTTCCATTTACTTGTTGTCCTTGGTTCAATTTGATTGTTTAGCATCCTTTCCAGCTCTTAATACTTGAATTGGGATCGGTTATACTCTGTTTTCACCTAGCTCGATCGAGTTTGTCACTCGAGTTTTTTGACTCGATCGAGCTGAGTATCGAGTTGGCCGAGCCGATCATTGCAACTCTAATTCCTTGAGTTTTTAATGCATTTCAGGAACCCAACTTCTAGAAGCAACAAGTTCAAGATGTTGAGAGGTGAGGGAAGCCAAGCAGCTATGGGGAGAAAGCAAAGGGCAGAGAAAGCAAGAAGAATGAGAGAAAGGATGTCCATAGATGAAGGTTTGGAGTATGTGAGATCGAGGAAAGAAAGGAACCAGCAGATGGAAGAGTTTGATGCAGAGAGGCATGTCTCCTCTGAGGAGCGGTCTGAGAGTGAGAGGTTGAGGGAGGAAAGGAGAACCAAGAAGAGAAATGACCCAATTAGTAGTGAGAGTGAGCAAGGGGAGTTTGAGATTGGAGTGAACCTTGTTCAAGAGGAGGGTAATGGCTCTCCAAGTGAAGAAGGAAGTGATGAGACTGAGAGTGAAGAGGAAGGAGAAGAGGTCAATCAAGAGATTGAGGGAAGTGTTCATGAGAGCAATGAGAATGTGCCAATGGAGGAGGCTGAATCAGAGGAACAGATGAACTCCCCATGTACCAAGAGCACTACAATGCCCTCTTCTCCATGGACTTTATGGATACCAAGTACCCACATGTTGACACAATGAAGGCCCTTGGAATCTTTGAAGATGTGGAGCTAGTTCTCAAGAACATGCACTTGGCCAAATTGTTCTCTTATCACATGGAATCCTACAAGGAGCTCACTTGCGAGTTCTTAGCTTCAATGAGGTACCACATGTACGACGAGGAAGATAGAGCTGATTTGGACCAAGGATTGGGATGGATCACGTTCTTGGCTAAGGGAGAGAAGAGAATGGTGACCTTTAGGCAGTTGGAGATCTTATTTGGGTTCAACTATGGAGAAGGTATTAAGTGGAACTTCAAGGAGAAGGAACTCCAAAGGGTTTGGGCTACAATCGCTGATGGAGAGTACTCTTCCTCAAGGTCTAAGGCTGCTCAAATCAGGAGCCCAGTATTGAGATATGTGCACAAGGCACTAGCCAACACCTTCTTTGCAAGGAAGGCAACCGGGACCATTAACGAGGGGGAACTCAAGTTTCTTGACATGGGAATCAAGCCCATTCTCTCACGCACAAGCGATGGCAAGAGGATCAGGGGAGATAGATCCAACACAGGGAACTTGATGCCTTTCCTTGATCATCTCCTCACCTACAAGACCACAGCCTACAACACTAGACATCAACGAGGGAGGCGCCTAAGTGTTGGAGGGCTCATCACTCCTATCTTGTGTGCTGCTGGAGTGAACCCAACTGATAAGAAAGCCACTGAACCAGGTTGGATGGACATCAAGTTTTGCAAGACAACCTTCTCATTGAGCACAAGGAGTTGGATGGGAGGTTCCAATTCAAGTTCACCATCCATTGGCTGGCCCTTCCAAGCTTCTCCTGCCTAACCCAGAGCTCACCACAGTAGTCAGGGGTGAGAACATTTCAGACCCCCTTTGTATACACTAGTTGGGCATGAGGACGATTTTCGAGCTGAGGATCGAGCTGAGTCTCAAGCTGAGGATCGAGTCCAGGAGAGCGCGATTTGGGTGAGCCTGAGTGCTACTATTTTGAGGAGTATGAGGCTCCAAGGATGAACCCCTCTGTTGTGGCTGCCCACAAGAGGATTGGACTTCTCCAAAGGTTCAACAAGTGGCAAGGGAAAGCCATGGAAAAGATGCAAAAGTCCATGGACAAGATGGTGAGCAAGATCAAGAGTTTGGAGAAGAAAGTTTCTGGTTCTTCAAGCAAGAAGAAGAAGGCACCCATGGCCCCCACTTTCCTTAGGAGTAGATCACTCCTCACCACTCAAAGGAGGCTCCATACCCAAGAACCTCACAGAGCCTCTTCATTGAGCCAAGGGAAGGGGAAGACAACTCACATAGAAGGAGGAAGAGCTCTAAGCCCAGACGCTCCACTCGACCACCGGACTTGATCGAGTCCAAATAGAGGAAACTCAACTCGATCGAGCTGAGGGTCGAGTTGACCTGGAGGAGCCCCTATATGATGACGCCGGATTCGAGTACGATCCAACACCCTACCAAGACTTCTCTCAGACTCTCTGGACTCCCTATAACCGCTTCGGTGAAGAAGAGGAAGAAGAGGAAGAAGAGGAACCGCAAGCTCGATCGAGTGAGGCGAACCCAGTCGAGTGGAGTGTCCCTGACAGTCGTTTGCCCTCTCCAGACCACGACTTTGCCTCCCAGTTCTTTGGGGGGCACTGAGGTATCAAACACCAACCATTGTATATACCATTTCATGTTTTCTTTGTTTTATTTTTTCTTGGTTTTGCCCTCTTGAATCTTTCACTAAATTTCTCTCACACAAGGGACTGTGTGATTAAGTTTGGGGGAGGGTTTAAGAGATGATTTAACCTTGCTTTCTTTGTTCTTAGTTTTTCATCCTCTTATTGCATAGAAAAACCAAAAAATCATAAAAATTTCAAAAAATCCAAAAATATTTTCATCTTTTTGCATTCATATTTCTTAGTATTTTTTAGGATTGCATCTTTCACTTGCATTGCTAATTTGAAGACTTCCTACCAATTTACGATATTCCTTAGGATCGAAGAGCGGGTTTCAAGTGGAGAGAGTGAGCTTTGGTGTAGAAGCCATAGGTGTGGTTACCGGTTTGGCGTTAGTTATATCATAGCGATGTAGCAGGTCAAGAACATATTTCCTTTGTGAAAGATGAAGACCCGATGACGTTCTGTGAGCTTCAATACCGAGGAAGTAGTTTAAATTGGTCAGACAAAGGTTGCAAGATGCGAGTAATCCCTGTTTTGGTACTCCATGTGACCAAGATGTCATTAACATAGACAAGGAGGTAGATGTAATCTGTACCACTTCTGAGCATAAACAGCGAGGGATCAACTAGTGAATTGATAATTCCGAGGCTGAGAAGAAAGGTGCTCAGCTCATTGTACCAGGATCTCGGTGCTTGTTTCAGACCATACACAGCTTTGTTGAGTCGACAAACGTATGAGGGGTGATCAGCATCAACAAATCCTGGCGGTTCCTCCATGTACACTTCATATGTCAATGTGCCTTGGAGGAATGCATTGTTGACATCAAGTTGGAGAAGAGGCCACGATTGGGAGACGGAAAAATCGAGTACAATGTGGATCATCGTTGCTTTGATAACCGGGATGAAGGTCTCGATATAGTCTTGTCCTTCTTTCTGATTGTATCCTTTAGAAACAAGCCTTGCTTTACACCTGTTATGTTCACCAGAAGAAAGAAACTTGTTAGTGTAGATCCATCTACAACCAACGACATTAAAGTGAGCTTGACAAAGAACCAAATCAAAAGTGTGATTAAGAGCAAAAGCATCAATTTCAGTTGACATGGCTTCGCGCCAGCGCTTGTCTTTGAGAGCCTGAGTTAGTGTGCGAGGTTAAGCTGGAACAGAGAGAGATAAGGCCGCTGAATAGTTGTACAAGCTAACCTTCCAGTTTGTACTTCAAACCGGAAGGCTTCAGTAAGCAATGCATCCCCCCAAGAATTTGTATCTTTATATTTTGGATTAGGCTTCATGATGTGATTTTTCAGACGTGTGGTCATATGCTGTAGATTCTCCGGTGCTGGATTGGCCGGTGGTGGTTGTGGTAGCTGCAGTGGCGGTGATGGCGGTGGAGATGGTGAATCAGCAGGAGTCAATGGTGTTGTCGAGTCTGATGTTGATGAAGATGTAGACCTGGAGGAGAGATTCTGTAAATGGGCTGAATGTGTTGGTTGGGCTTGGTGTTTGTCTGGGCTTTGTGAGGAGGACAAATGGGCCTGTTTCTGTTAGACTTCAAGGACTGGAGAATTTTGTGGGCCTGTCATTGTGGTGAAGTTTTGAGAAGCAGAACTTGGATTGACTTCGGAGTGAGTGAGATGGCGGAGCTATTTGTGGCGACAATGGGTGAAGAGGTGAGCTCAATTGTGCATGAAGCAGTGGTTGTGGAGGAGTGATAGGTATTTGAGTAATTTGTGGAGATGATGGAATCTTCTCGGTGCTTGGACAAGTCACCAGTTGCGGTGGAAGTGATGCTGCAAAGGGGAAAACTTTTTCATCAAATCTGACATGTTGAGAGACGTAGATTCGCCCAATCGTTGGCTGAAGACAGATATATGCACTATGTGTCTGAGAGTAACCAATAAAGACACACGGCATTGATCGGTCTTCAAGTTTGTTGGTCGTGTACAGTCACAACAAGGGAAACAGAGGCAGCCGTACACTCAGAGTTTTGAATAAGTTGGGGAAACACGGAATAACTTCTGATACGGTGACTCCATATTAAGAAGTGGATTAGGTTGGGGATTGATCACGTAGACAGTTGTGGAGAAGGCATAAGACCAGTAGGTCTTGGGCATGGCGGCATGGGTGAGAAAATTAAGACAGGTTTCAACAACACAGGCTTCTCACTCAGGACACACGGCGAAGTGGTCTTGACGAAATACATTGAGTAGAATTTTTTAAAGCTCTTCCCAAAGTAGATGCTGCGGTAATGGAACTGGTTTGAAGTCCTTTTCTTGTGTTTTGCTCCATAATGCATCTTTTGACCTAAAATGACTCTTTACACTATAATTCCATAAAAATTACCTTTTAAGACAAGAATCCACTGGAAAACCGTATACAAAGTATAGAAAAACCATATAAAAAGCATGTAAAATAGAGATATATCAATGGCACAAGCTAACCTTCCAGTTTCATATTGGGGGGATGCATTGCTTACTGAAGCCTATATACTTAACTTTGTGCCCTCCAAATATGTTACTACTACTCCCTACGAGTGATGGACAGGTAGAAAACCCAACCCAACTCATCTAAGAGCTTGGGGATTCGCTGCATTTGTTCGTGATACTTCACATCCTCATGGAAAATTGGGTCTTAGAGGAAAGGAGTGTATCTTTATAAGATACTCTGAGCAATCTAAAGGATATGTGCTCATTGGGGAACAATCATAAGGAAGTATAACAGAGATTGAATAAGAAAATGATTTTTCTAAAAGGGGAGAGATTCATAGAGAACTCCATCTTGAAGAGATTCTTGACCCCACTAGTATTCCTCCTACTAACCAATCCGTGGAAGTTGGTGAAATTTCACGTGAACTATCACAACTTCGTGGGAGAAAAACATTGTTTGAATCACAAGATTATGAGTTGCGAAGAAGTAACTGTGGAAATGTTCCTCGGCGTCGTTTTGAGATAGAAGGGGAAGCTTTTATGGGTTCTTTATATGATGACTTAGAACCTATATCGGTTCAAGAAGCTCTCTTCTGCCCAAACTCAAATGAATGGAATGATGCAGTAGGAGAAGAACTAGAATCATTGAGAGAAAACCATGTCTGGGACTTTGTTGACCTTCCACCAGAACGTCGAGCAATCGGAAATAAATGGATTCTTAAGATCAAATGTAAGGCGGACGAATCGATAGATAGGTACAAGGCTCGCTTGATAGCGAAAGGTTATACCCAATACGAGGGTATAGACTATGAGGAAATGTTTTCACATGTGGTGAGGTTTGCCTTGATTCGGCTTATTTTTAGCAATCATGTCCGGATTAGATTTAAAGTTACATCAAATGGACGTTTAGACTGTGTTTCTTAACTGGGAACTAGAAGAAGAGATTTACATGCAGCAACCTATTGGGTTCGTTATAAAAGGCCAGGAGCACAAAGTTTGTAAACTTAGACGCTCTGTATATGGCTTAAAACAATCTTCTAAACAATGGTACCTTCGTTTTCATCAAGCTATAACTTCTTATGATATTACGATGATAAGTGAAGACCATTGTGTCTATGTCAAGAGTATAGGACAATCCTTTGTAATTCTATCTCTATATGTCGACGACATCTTATTGGCTGGAAATGATATGGAGTTTCTTATAACCATTAAACAATGGTTGTCATCTCATTTTGAGATGAAATATATGGGAGAAGCTGAATACATACTTGGTGTTAAGATACACCGAGTGATAAAGGAAATTATTAGCTCTTTCTCAGGAGTCTTACATTCATACTATCCTTGAAAGGTTTAATATGCTTGATTGTAACCCCATTGACACTCCAATCGCGAAAGGTGAAGGCCTAAGCCTAAATATGTGCCCTAAGACCGATAATGGGAAAAAAGAGATGAAAGGAGTTCCATACTCAAGCGCTATAGGGATTGTGATGTATGCTATGATGTGCACTCGGCCGGATATTTGTTATGCGGTTGGCTTGGTAAGCCGTTAGCAGTCAAATCTCGGGAAGAAACATTGGATGGCAGTGAAGAGGATCCTTAGATACTTAAAGGGAACTACGGACTATTCTTTGTGTTATCAAGGAAATGATTTACACTTGACGGGTTACACCGATGCCAAATGGGCTGGCGATTTAGATGAGCGTAGATCAACTTCAAGATATGATTTCTTGCTAAGTGGTGGTGCTATTACTTGGAGTAGCAAGAAGTAGTCATGTACAGCCTTATCCACGATGGAGGCTGAGTTCATTGCTTGTTCAGCATCAATTCAAGAGGCTGTATGGCTGAGAAGGTTCCTACAAATCTTACAAGTCACAACGGAGGCATATTCTCCCATGACTGTTCATTGTGATAGTCAAGCTTGTATTGCTTATATGAAGGATCCCAAGTATTATGGGAGGACAAAGCACATCAAAATCAAAGGAAATTTTGTAAGAGACATTGTGGCAAAGAAAGAAGTGGTCCTTAAGTACATATCTACTCATAGAATGGTTGTTGATCCATTTACCAAACCTATTCCTAGAGATGTGTTTCTTGCTCATGTTGGAGCTTTAGGTTTGCGTAGAATTTAAGGAATGTACTTATGGAGCCTTGTTATTTGACATTGTACTTATGATGGATGTTTTTAAAAAAAATATATATATTTCAGACGTTTAATATAATAGTCAATTTCTTTTATTGTTTTCCATACTTACACATCAATATTAAGAAATGTAACCAAGTTTGGAGTTTGGTTGACTCACTTGATCTCATAGTCATTCCTTGCAGGAAGTGGTGGATGGATAGGGTTTCTATCCGTGAAGAAAGCATCGGCAGAGTCATAGTCTCCGATTGTTTGGGCACCTGCTTGAGGTTGCACATTCACATCTCCAGCAGGATCTTGTGGATTAGGAGGAGGAGGAGGTGGATCTCGTCCTTCTTCATTAGCGCGCGCCACTTCAGCGGCGTGAACGCGAGCTGCTTCGTCGGCCATCTCTTGGGCATTTTGCTTCCTAAGTAACTTCTCGAGCTTGTCTATCTTTGGATGTTCAACTAGGTTGTCCTTGTTGGACCTCCTAGTCATGCACCTGAAAAGAGTCTAGGAAACAAATTAAATCAAAAGGGAAAAACAAATGTAAAAGCAAAAATCAAAGAAAAAGAAATCAAAAACTGAAAATTCAAAAAGTAAAAGCAAGCAAAACAGGGAAAGGTTCTAGACTAGATCCTAGTCGAGCCTCAAAGGTACTGCTGCAGTCCCCGGCAACGGCGCCAAAAACTTGATGTTGAGTTAGGTTTTACCAAACTCTTAGACCTCTGCAAGTGCACAGATCGCGGAAGTATGGGTATCGAACACAAGGACTGGCTATTGAGTACACTTTGAAACTATGGATTTTGGATCAAGCTAAAACAAAAGTATGGTTTGAGGTTGTTATGGTGAACAGAACTAGCAAGTAAACGAGGTTGTAAATCAATAAGGAAGAAGCGCTAGGTCAACAGGGGCTAATCGCAGAGAAGCAAGCAATGATCAATGAAACAATGATAGATGAATTGATTAGGGATGTTGGGATATTAAGAACCGTCTAGACACTACAAGAAAAAGGAGATATTGTGACTAATCATTGTTACGAAAATTATTCGTCATGAATCTGTGACATTTTATATACGGTTTTGTGACTAAATATTTATGTCACAGAAATGTAGCTATTACGTCACAGTTTTGTGACATTCTAATTTGTAACCATAGTTTGTCACCGTTAGTAACGAAATTGTGACTTAGCTATCGTCACAACTGTGACAATACTCTGACCAAATGTATAGTAGCAACTTTGTTACAAACTTGTGATGAAATAATCAGCGTTAATTTATAACGAAACAATGACTAATTAATAGTCACTAATTGGTACGAATTAAAAAACACAGTAAACGTTACAAATTGTAACTAAAAATGTAACAAAACCGTCTCAATGAAAAAATAATGTTTCCAATATTTTATTAGTCATAATATTAATATTTAGGAGATAGCTATCAAAATATTATCATGACATACGTTTTATTTTGATCTTTTTTTTTTATAAACGAAAATATAAAATTTACTTTTTTTTACATGTAAGAAATGTATTTTTTCCTGTTTGTTAAAAAGAAATATAATGTATCATAGTAATATTTCTACTAATTACTTTTATTATACCCTACAGATAACAATAAATTTCCTAATTAGATAGGGATTTACTTTAACCAAAAAAAAAGGAAAAGCATCAATATTTTCTTATTATGTAGTATACATGCATATGAGATCCACGATACTTGCAAAAAATCAAAAGTTCATAAAACTAGAGCCTCACGTTGGAATCAAAGATAACACAAGGCAGGCAAAAAGCTTTTCTCCGAGACAGGTCATTAACGAACTCACTATTTTTCTTCTTCAAAAAGTATTTCAATAATTGTGTTCAATAATTATTATATTTTTGATTTGTGTTCAAAACTTATTATATTTTTGATAATCCAGACTATGTGTTCTAAACTTATTATATTTTTCATAATCCAGACTATGTCAACGTCGTCGAGTGATGGTATTAAAGTTAGAAGACGGTGGATGTATGAAAGAATTGATCATGCTAATAATCAAGTTTCTGAAGTCTTCTGTCAAGGATTACAAAGTTTGATGAGATTAGCAAAGACTCAACCTCTATTTCTCGAGAATGGAAAGATCTTCTGTCCATGTTTTAAATGTGAAAACGGAAGATTACTGAAAGAAGAGATTGTTTGGAAGCATTTATACAATAGAGGCTTTATGTCTAACTATTGGGTTTGGATTTCTCATGGAGAATATTACGATATGCTCAATAATAATCATGAGGCTTTTGATGATTTTATAAATGCTGGTGGAGTTGGTTTTGATCACGACTCTCTTACGGAACAAGTAAATCCTTATGTGGCAATGGTTTCAGATGCATTTGTTGGGAACATGGAAGAATTAGTTGAGAACATGGAAGAAGAGCCTAATGCTGAAGCAAAAAAGTTTTTTCATATTCTGGATGCTGCAAAAAATCCTATTTATGATGGGTGTAAAGACGGTCTGTCACAACTCTCTTTAGCAGCTCGGCTCATGAGTTTGAAGACCGATTATAACCTGCCACAAAATTGCATGGATTCGATTTCTCAAATGGTTGATGTACTTGCATTTTACATAGTTTTAGCACATCTTTTATGCATCTTTTGCATAGTTTTAGCTTCCATTTGCATCATATCTTGTTCCTTTTCTCTTCTTATGCATTCATGTTAGTTTTAGGTTGCATTTGCATACATATGCATGTTTGGTCCTTTGAAATAGGTCTTTTGGAGCATTCTGGAGCATATGGGACATGAGGAGCATGGAGGGACTTGGCACATGGAAGCAGCTCAACTGGATACGCAAAGGAAGAAGGGAGAAGCCATCTTGAAGACCAGCTCGACCGTCTACTCGACCAACCGGTCGAGTTCCTCAACTCGACCGGCCAAGCTTCAACTCGATCGAGCTGGAAGTCAAAGTCAAACCCGAAAAATGTTGCTTCCCCCTTGACTTTCCTTTGACCCTAAACCTAATCCTCTTGTATTTAAAGGCTCTAAGCCACGAAAAAACCACCAAGCTTTAGATTATTTTGTTTTAGTTTCTTTTTTATTGTCTTTTACTTTTTAGAGATCTAATCCCATCTTTGTGTTCTTGAAGCTCTTGCTTCTTGAATCTTAGATCCTGGATAATCTCTTTGTATTTGCACTTGCTTATTTCAATAAAAGTTGTTTAATTTCATCTCCTCTTTCTTATGATGTCTCTTTTATTGCATTTGCTTGTGTTTACATTCATGTGTAGTGAGTAGTTACCCATTAGGGTTTGAGATGGGATAGATTAGAGGTTTCATATGCTTAATCCTTCTAGCTTATGGTCTTAATCTAGATTCTCTCTCTTTTGGATAGATCTTAAGGCTACATGACCACTACCCCTGGCTTGTAAGTCCTTAGGCGACTCCCCACACGAAGTGATGGCATTCGCTGGAAAAGATCCACTAAGAGCTCCAATATCTCTTGCTCTAGACAATAGAGGTCTAAGGGGTTGGATGGATTAGTTTGGGCAATGATCCTATAGCCTCCAAGGTTTGATTCTCACTGGCTAACCCCCTGTTTCTGAGATCATTCCTTGGTTGATAGCCTCCACCTTGGGAAAGGGTTGGCTAGGCATTGAGAAGCCCAATATCAAGAGAAGCCTTGATACAAGGAGTTTTAAGAGCTAGATTGATTAAGTGTAGATTCCTTTGATTGCAAAACCCTGTCTTGAACCCTAATTCTCTCTTTATCTTGTTAAAGTCGTCACCTTTAGCTTTTTGTCTCAACTCGACCCTAAACTCGATCGAGCTGGTACTCTGTTCCACTCGACTCGAGTCCTTGGTCGAGCTACTTCACTGCTTTGTTTACTTTTATTGCACTGCATTTCATTTTTAGGTTGTTAGTGTTACTTCAAATCTATAACTGCTTGCTTGACTTTCTGGTTGTTTCATATTCTCATAGAGTGACAAGTTTCCCATTTTGGATTGATAACCTCTTATACTTCAATGACTATGATGGTTAAGAGGAATTGATTGATTGTGTTTGCACCATTACCATCATCTTATTACCCTGTTGCATTCCACCTCATATCTTATCATTTCATTCATTTCACACACACAAAATCCTATCATCAATTTGGCGCCGTTGCCGATTTGGGAATATTTTTGTTGCATTTGAGTTTCAAACACACTTGGACGATCAAGCTATACCACCCCTGTTCTATTGTACTGCTGGGTTTTTGTCTCTTTTTGCAGGTGTATGCGAACTCGATCGAGTCGGTCTAACTGAAGACTTGGTCGAGCTAGACATTACAACGGGTAGAAAGAGGGTTCAGAGGTCACAGAGGGTACAAGAGGAACCTGAGGTGCTTGTTGCTGATACAATGGATGTACCAGAGGGGAATGGAAACCCTTTGGGCAATGGACTCGGTCGAGCTAGGCAAACTCGACCGATTGGTCAAGGAGATGCTCCAAACCGCCACCAACAGAGACAAGGGATTGTTCCACCACCAGTGCAGAACCACAACTTTGAGATCAAGCTGGGAATGATCAACCTTGTCCAGAACAAGATGTTCCATGGATTGCCAAGTGAAGACCCCATTGACCACCTTGATGAGTTTGATAGGCTTTGTGATTTGACAAAGATCAATGGTGTCTCTGAAGATGCCATCAAGCTGAGACTCTTTCCTATGTCTCTAGCTGACAAAGCTCACCAATGGGAGAAGAGCTTGCCCCATGGCACAATCACCACTTGGGATGAATGCAAGAAGGCCTTTCTTGCTAAGTTTTTCTCCACCGGTCGCACAGCCAAGCTTAGAGGAGAGATATCCAGCTTCATCCAGCGAAACAATGAGACATTCGCAGAGGCTTGGGAGAGGTTCAAAGGCTACACAAGTCAGTGCCCACACCATGGATTCAACAATGAATCACTACTCTCCACTCTTTATAGAGGATGCTTGCCTAGGTATAGGGAGATGCTAGACACAGCTAGCAATGGGAACTTCCTCAACCAGGATGTAGATGATGGCTGGCAACTTGTGGAGAACATAGCTAACTCAAATGGAAGCTATGGAGAAGAGTATGATCGCACCAACCGGAGCTCGACCCACCACTCGATCGAGTCAGACGAAAAGTTGAGAAAAGATGTTAAGGCATTGAATGAGAAGTTGGATAAGCTGATCCTAGCTCAGTCCACAATGAAGAAAGTCAACTTTGTGTCTGCTGAGGAGATGGAACCAGTCCAAGAAGGGGAGGATACACAATTTGCTGAGGTGTGCTACATGAGCAATGGGCAAGGAGGTTACAACAAAGGATACTATAACTACAAGTCCAACCCTGCCATGTCATACCGCAACACTGATGTTGCTAACCCTCAGGACCAAGTATATCCTCAACAACAAGCAGCTCGATCGAGTCAAGGTGCCACAACATGGGTATGGTCAAAAGAACAATTACCAAGGACCACAAGGCACTTTCCCTGGACAACAAATGAATATCCCACCAGGCTTCCCCCACCAACCGCCCCAGCCTGCACCTTCACAAGAGAATGAGCTCAAGGCAATGCTAAAGCAACTACTTCAAGGGCAAGCTGATGGGGTAGTGGACACAAGCAAGAAGCTAGCTGAAATAAACTCTAAGATCGAGAACCTCAACACAAGGGTTTACTCTCTGGAGAATCATGCTTCTTCTGTTGCTGCTGCTACAAAGCAAGGACAACTACCTGGTAAAGCTATTCAGAACCCCAAGGAACAGTGCAAGGTCATCTTCACTCAAGAAGGACTTGTTGAAGAAGAGGATCAAGAAAGGGTCATTGAAGATTTTTGTTTACTGCTGAATGATGAAGAGATTGTTGCTGCTGAGGCTCCTGGAGTCCAGATTGATCAACCAGAAGTGCATGCACCTACTGTGGCCATTCACACTTCACCAGTTGAGCTCGCACGACAAGCTCGATCGGCAGCTCGATCGAGTCCAACTCTAGCTCGATCGAGTCCGACCTCTTCTGTCCGACAGCCTGTTTTGCTTGATCCTTACAACCGGTTGCCGCTTCCTCGTCTCGCCTACTTAGTCAAGGTCACAAGGAAGTGATTCACAAGTTCAGAAGAGATCTCAGTGGGATTGGAATTGAGTTGCCTCTATGGATAGCATGAGTGAGGCATTTGATCAAATGCAAATGGTCAAGGATGTTCTAGCCAACAGTGATAAAGTTTCAGAGGTCCTACAAGAGTCTACTCATCAGTTCAACCTGCTTACTTCACCCACCTTCCTACCAAAGGTCAAGGATCAAGGGAAATTCACTCTCCCTTGCACACTTGGGCATCTTGAGATTGACAATGCCTTAGTGGATTCTGGAGCAAGCATCAATCTGATCTCTCTCTCCATGGCAGAGAAGCTAGGCATAGCTGGAGCCTTGCAGCGCCCTACTACTTCAATCATGTTTGGAGATGCAACTTCTAAGTCTCCTCTTGGAGTGTTCAAGAACTATCACTTGAAAATTGGAGAATGCATCATCCAAACTGATCTCACTGTGATGGAAATGGAAGAAGAGAAGGATTTGCCTTGTTATTGGGAACCCCTTTCCTTAGTACAGTTGGCGCTTCAATAGACTTTCACAAGCAAGAAGTGATCCTTCACAAGGTGAATAGTTTGGTGTCATATCGCTTGCAGCCTAGAGGTTCAGACTTTTGTGCCACAATTGACAGTACCAATCTCAGTTCTAAGAGTCATGGAGCTACAAAGGTTGTGAAGGAAAGGGTTGACAAGGAACCAAGAGTTGGGAAGGATAAGGATGAGAGAGGACCAAGGATTGAGAAGCCACGTCTTGAGAGGGCTAGAGTTGAGAAACCACGATCTGATAGGCCAAGAGCTGAGCGACTTGTTCAAGCCCCTTGTGTGCTTGATGAAGAGAGCCTTCAAGCTTTGTTTGATGAGCCACTAGGAAGGGCTCTAAAGAAGGGGAGGATGCAGCCTCTAAGGCAAGACCAGGAGATAAAAGAAAGGATCCACCAGCTCAGGCCCCTTCAGTCAAGCCATCTCAGCTCACAATGACTTTGTTCCCCACCAAGTTTGAAAATGGGAAGATTGAGTACAAGATAAGGTACAAGGGGAGATCAAGGCCATTCTCTAGAGCCAAGGCCTTGGTGACTTCAGAACAGTCCAGGGACCCAACCAAGCTAAAGGAGCTTCTGTCTCAAGTCCTCACTATCACCCTTGATGGTGGGACTAGCTCAACCAATGCCTAAGAAGGTAAAGGTCAAGCTATGGGACCTTAAACAAGCTCACTTGGGAGGAAGTCCCATGTTTATCCTTGTACATACTCTATTTATGCAATTTCTATCTATCTTTATGTTTTTAACCTTTCAATAAGTTAAGTTTAGGTGTCAAGGAGCCAGCTCGACCACAGCTCGATCGAGCTAGAAACCAGGGCAACTCGATCGAGCTCAACTCGACCAAGGTAAGTTTTTGAATTTCAAATTCATAACCGTTTTCTTGGTCAAGGGAGTGGGTCCCACAAGCTGATTTTGGTCCCCCACTACCCTAATTCGATCAGAGAATCCCTAGTTTCTTGTTCCCTCTTTATTTCTTTTAATCTCAACCACACATCTCAAACACTCTCTTCCCCATAACTCGATCGAACCACTTCCTCTCTCCCACACTCTAAATTTCTGAAATCATCCATCTCTCTCTTCACCACAAGAAAAATCGATTTTCAATCTCTCTCTTAAGTTTTTGCGATTTCATTTGTTCTTCATCTTGTTTTGCTTAGTTCTTAGTTTACTGCTCTTCAATTCCATCATTCAAGCAAGGTATGAACCCTAAAACCCTTGATTCTTCATCTCGATTCCTCCATTGCTTGTTTCCTCTTGATTTTTGATTGCATGTGTCCCTTGTGGACTTGTTATTGAGAATTGCTTTCATATTTCGCTCTGCTGTATACTTGTTAGAATTTGCTTCACCTCACCTCTGTTTTGCCTTTAAACTTGTTGCATGTGCTTGAAATTGAATTTGAGTTTGGTAATGGTTAGGTTGCTATGTTTTTCACTAGAATTGCTTATTGTTCCATTTACTAGTTGTTCTTGGTTCAATTTGATTGATTAGCATCCTTTCCAGCTCTTAATACTGAATTAGGTTTGGTTATACTCTGTTTTCACCCAACTCGATCGAGTTTGTCACTCGAGTTTTTTGACTCGATCGAGCTGAGTGTCGAGTTGACCAAACCGATCATTACAACTCTAATTTTTGAATTTTGATGCATTTCAGGGACCAATCTAAGATGTTGAGAGGTGAAGGAAGCAAGCAGCGTTCACAAGGAGGAGATGATAAGAGGAGCAAGGAGGATACTCAAAACACAAACCAAGGAGGACATAGAAGAGGTTGAGAGGGTGAGGGAAGAAAGGAGAACCAAAAGAAGGAATGATCCTCTCAGCAGTGAGAGCGAAGCAGGAGAGTTTGAAATTGGGTGAACATCCCACATGAGGAGAATGATGACTCCCCAAGTGAAGAAGAGGGTGAAGAGATCAATCAAGAGATTGAGGAGAGTGAGCATGAGGGCAATGAGAATGTGCCCATGGAAGAGGAGGAGTCAAGGAAGAAGAGGATGAGCTCCCCATGTACCAAGAGCACTATGATGCTCTCTTCTCCATGGACTTCATGGAGACCAAGTACCCACATGTTGACACATGAAGGCCCTTGGAATCTTTGAAGATGTGGAGTTGGTCCTCAAGAACATGCACTTGGCCAAGTTCTTCTCTTACCACATGGAATCCTACAAGGAGCTCACTTGCGAGTTCTAGCTTCAATGAGGTACCACATGTATGAGGATAGAGCTGATTTGGACCAAGGATTGGGATGGATCACGTTCTTGGCTAAGGGAGAGAAGAGAATGGTGACCTTTAGGCAGTTGGAGATCTTGTTTGGGTTCAACTATGGAGAGGGAACCAAGTGGAACTTCAAGGAGGAACTCCAAAGGGTTTGGGCTACAATCGCTGATGGAGTGTACTCTTCCTCAAGGTCAAGGCAGCTCAGATCAGGAGCCCAGTGTTGAGATATGTGCACAAGGCACTTGCCAACACCTTCTTTGCAAGGAAGGCAACCGGGACAATCAACGAGGGAACTCAAGCTTTCTTGACATGGGAATCAAGCCCATCTCTCACGCACAAGCGATGGCAAGAGGATCAGAGGGAGATAGATCATGCAGGGAACTGATGCCTTTCCTTGACCAGCTCTCACCTACAAGATCACAGCCTACAACACTAGGCACAAAGAGGAAGGAAAGCTTAGTGTTGGAGGGCTCATCACACCTATCTTGTGTGCTGCTGGAGTCCAACTGACAAGAGAAGGTCTACTGAACCAGGTTGGATGGACATCAAGTTTTGCAAGACCAACCTCCTCATTGAGCACAAGGAGTTGGATGGGAGGTTCCAATTCAAGTTCACACATCCATTGGCTGGACCCTCCAAGCTTCTCCTGCCCAACCCAGAGCTCACCACAGTTGTAGGGGTGAGAACATTGACTTCAGACCCCCTGTGTACACATTAGTTGGGCATGAAGAGGATTTGCGAGAAGAGGAGCCTGAGCTCGATCGAGCTGAGGATCGAGCTGAGGATCAGCTCAGGAATGAGGATTTGGGTGAGCCTGAGTGCTACTACTTTGAGGAGTATGAGGCTCCAAGGATGAACCCCTCTGTTGTGGCTGCCCACAAGAGGATTGGACTTCTCCAAAAGGTTCAACAAGTGGCAAGGGAAAGCCATGGAGAAGATGCAAAAGTCCATGGACAAGATGGTGAGCAAGATCAAAAGTTTGGAGAAGAAGGTTTCTGGTTCTTCAAGCAAGAAGAAGTCCAAGGCCCCCACTTTCCCTAGGAGTAGGTCACTCCTCACCACCCAAAGGAGGCTCCCTGCCCAAGAGCCTCACAGAGCCTCTTCTTTCGAGCCAAGGGAAGGAGAGACAACACGCAGAGAAGGAGGAAGAGTTCCAAGGCCAGACGCTCCAGCTCGACCACCGGACTCGATCGAGTCCAAACAGAGGAAACTCAACTCGATCGAGCTGAGGGTCGAGTTGACCTGGAGGAGCCCCTGTTTGAGAACCCTGGATTCGAGTACGATCAACCCAGTACCAGGACTTCTCTCAGACCTCTGGACTCCCTACAACCGCTTCGAGCGAGCCAACTCCACCAAGGCCAAGGAAGCCACACCCACTTTGAAGATGAAGAAGAAGAGGAGAGGAGCCACAAGCTCGATCGAGTGAGCCGAACCCAGTTGAGTGGAGCGCTCCTGATGGCCGTCTCCCATCTCCAGACCACGACCTAGCCTCCCAGTTCTTTGGGGGGCACTGAGGTATCCAAACACCAACCCTTGTATATACCATTTCATATTTTCTTGCTTTGTTCTTGTTTTTTCTTGGTTTTGCCCTCTTGAATCTTTCACTAAATTTTTCTCACACAAGGGACTGTGTGATTTAAGTTTGGGGGAGGGTTCAAGAGATGATTTAACCTTGTTTTCTTTGTTCTTAGTTTTTCATTTATCTTTTGCATAGAAAAACCAAAAAAATCATAAAATTTTCAAAAAATCCAAAAATATTTTCATCTTTTTGCATTCATATTTGTTAGACTTGTTTAGGATTGCATTTTTCACTTGCATTGTTGATTTGACTTTGAAAACTTGTCCATCTTTTGCGATTTCTTGAGTGCCCTGTTTTTAGATTCTTTTGTGCATTAGGGTGAGATTGATTGAGCAGCAAGAACCATGTTTATCTTGATCATATCGCTGCATGCACATCTCATTCAACCATTGCTGTGATTTGATGCATTTCCCTATCTATTTGAACCATAACTTGATCTTTAATTACCAATGCTTGCATTTGATTTCAACTCATGGCTACCACATACATATCTGGACATTCTTTACCTATTTTCATATCCCTTTTGCTTGTCCAGATAGCTGATCTCTATCTTTGAGACAGTTACCACACCTTAAACCTAAGCCTTTTCATTTCAAACCCCATATTATCTCTTGTGCGAATGTGAGAACCTTTCTTGGCTTTGCTTAGCATAAGGTGTTGTGTTTAAACCGGCAGGGGCAGTAGTTCTAGTTGTCTAGTTCTCTTGGGATTGTTTTCAGGCTAAGTTTGGGGGTGCCAACTCGAGCTCGATCGAGTTGGGTGTAAAAACCAGAAAAGTGGTAAAAGTTGGGAAAAACCCAAAGGAAAAAGAGTTTGTTAAGTCCAGGGAGTTGGCAGTGTTAAAAAGGGTCTAGTAAAGGTTTGGGAAGTTAAAAAAGGAAAGTAAAAAGGGTTCTAAGTAGAATGAAAAGAAGGCAAAGCCTCAAGTGTCAAAAAGGAAGAAAAGTTCCCTAAGTGTTTAGAAAATCCCAAACCGCTAGATGTTACCTCAAGAAGCCTCTCCCTAGGAAGTTCTTAAAAGAAAAGTGAGCAAAGCTCCTCAGTTTCAAAGGCGAAATGCCAAAAAGGGTAGTTAGGATTTTGTTCTAAAAAGCTCTAAGTGTTGAACTCGATCGAGTTAGGATTAGGCGGCTCGAGCTGCTGTTCTTGCATCATCTTTGGTTCTAACACTTAGCCTTCTGCCAAAGCAAAGCCACTTTCTTGAGAGATCCCTGTTACTAAACCACCATACAAAAGAGACCCTCTTTGTCTCTTAACCCATAAACCCTTGAAACCAAATGAGTTGATTGATCTTGCATGTTTTTGGTTCACTGTTTTTGCTTAATGAATGTTAAAGGGATTTGCTGATTTGAATGCATTGTTTGAGTGACTGTGAAGTGGGATTGATGTTGATAAGCATGGTTAAATCTTAATGAATATCTCTCACCTTGTTGCATTCTAGAATCTCTAAGTTGGACATTTAGCAAATCGCTTTTGAGGACATGTTTTTAAGTGTTGAATCAGCTATTTTCAAACCTCATCTCTTTCTTGTTCTATTTGTTTGCTTGAGGGCAAGCAAAGTTCAAGTTTGGGGGTGTTGATGTACTTGCATTTTACATAGTTTTAGCACATCTTTTATGCATCTTTTGCATAGTTTTAGCTTCCATTTGCATCATATCTTGTTCCTTTTCTCTTCTTATGCATTCATGTTAGTTTTAGGTTGCATTTGCATACATATGCATGTTTGGTCCTTTGAAATAGGTCTTTTGGAGCATTCTGGAGCATATGGGACATGAGGAGCATGGAGGGACTTGGCACATGGAAGCAGCTCAACTGGATACGCAAAGGAAGAAGGGAGAAGCCATCTTGAAGACCAGCTCGACCGTCCACTCGACCAACCGGTCGAGTTCCTCAACTCGACCGGCCAAGCTTCAACTCGATCGAGCTGGAAGTCAAAGTCAAACCCGAAAAATGTTGCTTCCCCCTTGACTTTCCTTTGACCCTAAACCTAATCCTCTTGTATTTAAAGGCTCTAAGCCACGAAAAAACCACCAAGCTTTAGATTATTTTGTTTTAGCTTTCTTTTTTATTGTCTTTTACTTTTTAGAACCTAATCCCATCTTTGTGTTCTTGAAGCTCTTGCTTCTTGAATCTTAGATCCTGGATTATCTTGCTTTGTATTTGCACTTGCTTATTTCAATAAAAGTTGTTTAATTTCATCTCCTCTTTCTTATGATGTCTCTTTTATTGCATTTGCTTGTGTTTACATTCATGTGTAGTGAGTAGTTACCCATTAGGGTTTGAGATGGGATAGATTAGAGGTTTCATATGCTTAATCCTTCTAGCTTATGGTCTTAATCTAGATTCTCTCTCTTTTGGATAGATCTTAAGGCTACATGACCACTACCCCTGGCTTGTAAGTCCTTAGGCGACTCCCCACACGGAAGTGATGGCATTCGCTGGAAAAGATCCACTAAGAGCTCCAATATCTCTTGCTCTAGACAATAGAGGTCTAAGGGGTTGGATGGATTAGTTTGGGCAATGATCCTATGCCTCCAAGGTTTGATTCTCACTGGCTAACCCCCTGTTTCTGAGATCATTCCTTGGTTGATAGCCTCCACCTTGGGAAAGGGTTGGCTAGGCATTGAGAAGCCCAATATCAAGAGAAGCCTTGATACAAGGAGTTTTAAGAGCTAGATTGATTAAGTGTAGATTCCTTTGATTGCAAAACCCTGTCTTGAACCCTAATTCTCTCTTATCTTGTTAAAGTCGTCACCTTTACTGCTTTTTGTCTCAACTCGACCCTAAACTCGATCGAGCTGGTACTCTGTTCCACTCGACTCGAGTCCTTGGTCGAGCTACTTGTTTACTGCTTTGTTTACTTTTATTGCACTGCATTTCATTTCTTAGGTTGTTAGTGTTACTTCAAATCTATAACTTGCTTGCTTGACTTTCCCATTTTGGATTGATAACCTCTTATACTTCAATGACTATGATGGTTAAGAGGAATTGATTGATTGTGATTGCACCATTCCATTTCATCTTTATTCACCCCTGTTTGCATTCCACCTCATATCTTATCATCCTTCATTCATATCACACACATACGCAAAACTCTACCATCAATGGTGCAAGATTTTTTGCCACAAGGTAACAACTCAATGAACTCTTACTATGATATTAAGAAGCTTATGCGGTGATTGGGTTTACCTTATCACAAAATTGATGTTTGTGAAGATAATTGCATGATATTTTGGAAAAATGATGAAAAGGAGGAGAATTGCAAATTCTGTAAAAAAGATAGATTCCGGCCTATACAAAACTCTGGACAGAAGAAAGTTGCATATCGCCAAATGTTTTATTTTCCGGTAGCTGATCGACTCAAGAGATTATACCAATCTGATAAAACTGCAAAAGAGATGAGATGGCACGCAGAACACTTAGCGAGTGTTGGAGAAATGTGTCATCCCTCAGATGGAGAAGCATGGAAACATTTTAACAAGGTATTCCCTGATTTTGCTACTGAGCCAAGAAACGTTTACCTTGGGTTATGCACAGACGGTTTTAATCCATTTGGTATGTCAGGACATAACTATTCATTATGGCCTGTTATTTTAACTCCATATAATATGCCACCAGAGATGTGCATGAAACAAGAGTTTATGTTTCTAACAGTTCTAGTTCCTGGTCCGAGTCATCCAAAAAGAAGTCTGGATATTTTTCTTCAACCATTGATACAAGAGCTGAAGGATTTGTGGTGTAATGGTGTTCATGCATATGATATATCTACTAAGCAGGATTTTGTCTTACGAGCTGTACTTATGTGGACAATTAGTGACTTCCCTGCTTATGGTATGCTTTCTGGGTGGACAACTCATGGTCGGTTGGCATGTCCTTATTGTATGGAGGAGACCGACGCATTTCAATTGAAGAATGGGAGAAAAACAAGTTGGTTTGATTGTCATCGCTGTTTTTTACCCATAGATCATAATTACAGGTGGAACAAGAAAAATTTCAGAAAAGGAAGGGTTGTGAATGATAATCCACCTCAAATACTAACAGGCCAGGAACTCTTCGATAGAGTTAGTTGCTTACCAAAAACAGTTGATTGTGGAGGAAACCATGGACGATTACAAGGATACGGTGATACTCACCATTGGCATAAGCAGAGCATTTTTTGGGAGTTACCTTATTGGAAAGATCATAAACTTCGACATAATCTTGATGTTATGCATATTGAAAAAAACTTTTTTGATAATATCATCAATACTTTGTTGAATGTGCAAGGAAAGACGAAAGATAATATCAAATCACGAATGGATTTGAAAGAGTATTGTAATCGCCAAGAGCTACATGTAACAACTGATGGGAAGACACCATTTCCGATTTTCAGACTACAAGCCGATGCAAAAACAAGTTTTTTACAATGGCTTGAGAAAGATGTTAAGTTTTCTGATGGATATGCATCAAGCCTGTCCAAGTGTGTTGATTTATCCAAAGGAAAATTAACAGGAATGAAAAGTCATGATTGTCATGTTTTGATACAAAGATTAATACCGATTGCGTTTGCGGAGCTTCTCGATAAACCTGTAAACCAAGCGCTATCTGGTAAGTATATAACTTTTAATATTAAATAGATTTTGTTGCATCTGCTTCGTCTCTGTTTTATAGTCTCTGTTTTTGTTTTTGTGTTACTATATTTTACAATCGCAATTTCTTCTTTGAGTTCTATTTTGCTTCTTTCGCTTACGTTTGCCTTAAGAAAGGATTTAATATTGTGGTGTGTTTGACTTTTTTTGGTACTTTGCGATTTGGTGACCATAGGATATTTCGTCTACTAATGGCGGAAGGTAAGAAGAGAGCTTATAATTGAAATCCTACATGAAACAGGAATCCTACTTACAATCAAGATTCTAATGAAAATAGGACTCCTAATTGAAATAGGACTCCTACTTAGAATAAAACTTCTACTTGGAGTAGGACTCCTACTTGAAATAGAACTACTATTTATTATAGAGATTATATGTTATTGTGATTTCTTATGATTTGATATTATAAATAGTTTTAGTTTGATTAGTCTTATATCGATGGTTTGATCTGAATCTCTCTTTGACCTCTAAATTGGCGCTTTCCTATTTATAGACCTCTGTATCGTGAATATTGTTGTCTAATTGATGATTTTATTCATTAGATTATTTTTTTTATGCTGTAATCGAGTAACATGATATGTACCTCTCAGCTTTTAATTGGAACGTTATGGAAATTCATATCTAACGTGATATCTTTTTGTAGGTGTTAGCTTATTTTTTCGGGATCTTTGTGCACGATCTTTACATAAAGACAGTGTTTCTATATTGCAGAAGAACATTAGTACGGTTCTTTGTGATTTGGAGAAAATATTTCCTCCATCATTTTTTTATGTCATGGAACATTTAGCAATTCATTTGCCATATGAAGCTATCCTTGGGGGTCCAGTGCAGTTTAGATGGATGTATCCTTTCGAAAGATATATAGGTCATCTAAAAAGAAAAGTGAAAAATAAGGCCAAAGTAGAAGGCTCGATTGTTGAACAGTACATCAATTAAGAAATCTCTACTTTTGGTACTTATTACTTTGAGCCACATATCAATATCAAGACAAAAGGTCGAACAGAAGAGCGACACTATGATGGAAGTAATCAAGGAGATACACACCAATTGGGTGAAATTCCTGATATTTTTTCACAAGCAGGGAGAGGCAGTGGTAAAGAAAAGGAGATATGGCTTCAAAGCCAAGACCTCCGTATCGCACAAACATATATTCTGTTAAACTGCGAACAAGTATGGCCGTTTGAAAGGTACGTGAAATTATATGTACAAACTTTAATTTATATTTTTATAGGTTAAATACAAAACATTGTTGTAATTTTTGGTGAAATTCTTCTATAGGTTATTTGACGAGAAAATGACTGTCTTACATCCTGGGATAAGTGAAAACAATCTATATGTGCTTAAAGAAAAGAACTTTGCAAGCTGGTTACAAGAGCACGTAAGATTTTCATTCTAATTCTATTATTACAAATATTTTTAAACTTCTTTTATAGTAAACATGTTGTGTATATGTTAATTAAAATCAGGTGGAGAATACTTATAATTCACATCCAAAGTGGTTGCAGACACTCGCCCATGGTCCGATGCCGAAAGTAACTTGCTGGCCAATATGTTTCACACATATGACTATGGAAAAGACAAAAAGAATGCAAATTATGGAGTTTGTGTCAAAGGGGTTACAACTTGTACGGTTTCAAGTCAAGAGCCTGATTTCTATGGAGTACTAAGAGAAATTTATGAGCTTCATTATCCTGGACCAGTTCATCTTAAAGTAGTGATTTTCAAATGTGATTGGTATGATTCAACCATTGGAAAAGGTATAAGAGTGAACAAGTTAGGGATTATTGATGTTCATGGAGGAAAGCGCTATGGGAAATATGATCCTTTTATTTTAGCCTCACAAGCTGATCAAGTATGCTATATTCCTTATCCACGGATGGCTCAGAAGAAAGATCAACAATGGAAAGCAACAATCGTCATACAACCAAGAGGAAAAGTATTGCTCAACCAAAGCTTGGATTTCACTGCAATGCAACATGAAAGTATTGATCCAGTTATCTAGAACACAGATCACGAATATAAAACCATTCCACTTTCGAGGCTCCGGCTCCTTTGTTAATCTACCTAGTCGCTAAACTTTTGGTATGTCCCTAGGTGATTAAATCAAGCTTTAGAATGAATAGGTTCTGATACAGTTCACTAGATTATAGTAGATCAACTTTCGCAGTCTAAGAAACCTAGCTTGTCAAAGAATATGTCCGGCGAATGATACAACACTGTCGAGGCTCAAATCAACCTAAGATCGGATTACTAGATGCGCGGTAAAGCAATCAACATTAGTTAAGTGCACAAGACGAGACAAAGACTCTATGATAATCCCTAGCTAAACATTGAAATCAAAGATCATGCAAACAACTCATTGATTAGTAACCCTAGCAACCTAACTAGTGGATTACTCAGACATGATCAAAGCAAACACACATAGAGATGAAGAAAACATGATTGCAATAAAACTTAGAGTAGGAAATCGTAATACAAGGCGGCTCTCTTTTCACAAGAGGCTAAAAAGCTATATATATAGTGCTAGGTCTTTTGAGGCGGCTTAGGGTTAACCGGGCCATGAAAATATGAAATCGGGCTTCAAAACGGGCTTTGGGTCGACCGCGGCATGGCATGGAGTGGTCCTGGCTCGGCCGACCGCGGGACATTGCTTCCCGGTCGTGCTGTTCAGTCGGCCGGATGGTCTTGAACTTTGGCCGAGACTTCAGACGGACGGATGGTTTTGGCCGAGCGCGAAACAAACGTTTCTCGGCCAGCCGCTGCGCGGTTTGGGCGCTGATTCTCGATAGAGCCGTCTGGACAGTCTTCACTCTTTTGGTTGTAACTCCTTTTCTACTCATCCAAATTAGCCGTTCCAGTTGCGTTGGAAAGTTAACTCAATCAGAGCACGCAGGGAACTGGTCTTGATGAAATCCATTGAGTAGATCTTTTTCTGGGCCCTCTTAAAGTTGATGCTTGTGCATGGAGCGGCTTGAAGTGCAAATCCTATGGTTTTGCTCCAAAATGCATCATTTCACCTGTTTAGACTCTAGACACTATAAACACAGTAAAACTACCTTTTTAGATAGAAAACCTGCCAAAAACCATTAGAAAACAATACTAAAATAGTATAAAAAGCATGTAAAATAGAGGTATATCAACTCCCCCAGACTTAGATCTTTGCTTGTCCCCAAGCAAAAGAATCTAAATCCGTGAAAGAGGTTTGAAAACGTGGAACTCCCTTGCTCTTTTGAATATCCTGTGAAAGGTTCCTTTCCTGTATTCCACTAAGAACATAGCAACATAAGGTTAGCTTCACATACACCCTGCAAGTTTAGCGAACAATACCAACCCAACTAGTCTCATCCAGCAATCCAAACTCTCTATTGCTAACCTCTTGCATAAATTTAAAGCGTGAGTTCTTTATCAAGGGAACATCGATCAATTGAACTTGTTCTTACCCACTTGATCTTCTCCAAGATTGTCTTTGAAGTGCAATGAGTTCTTTTCCTCTCTCTTTCTCACATCAGAACTTTGAAAGGTCAATTTCTCCCTACTTTTCTAGGGTATCATTTTATTTTTTCTATTGACCCTTCTTTCAACCACAGGATAAGTCTTTAGCTTGTTCCTTGTTTGACTAAGGTATTCCATAAGACATGAAGGTACAGACATATGCATTCCTCATGCTTACTTGTTTTCCTTGTGCTCTTTGAGCTTTTTCTCATAAACATTACTTACCATTTGGGATGGGAGAGAGAGGAGAACTCTTTAAAGATTAGACAAATCTTATTGAAAATCAAGCAAGGAACTGTCGACATGTATGCCAATCCCCTTGACAAGAGTATTAAGATTGATTAAGGGTGAGGTTAACTCTAGATTGCTTGGTTACCTTAGAAATTTTGCTGAGCTAGCATGTCGATCCACTGTAAGAGCTTCTGTTAGGCTTGTGCCTTTAGCTGGTTTCTGCTCTAGGGTCATGGATTGTTAGCATAACACTCTCAATTCTCAAAGCAAGTTCATAACTTCCGGACTGGTTTTTGACTCAATAAAACTTTTTGAAAAACATGAAACAAAGTGAATAAAACATAAGAAAAGAAAGAAAAATGCATTAGTAACACAATAAAACTCCCCCCAGACTTAACTTGCACCGTCCCGGTGAAAGCAAATCACATTAAGGTGAGAGGTAATATTCAAAGTAAAAGAAAAATAAAGAGAAATTCATTAAAATGAGATAGGGATAGAAAATGGAGATTTGTAAGTGTCCATTGCACTAAGTACCACTTGAGATGACTATGTGTGGCAGTGAGAAGAACTCTCTTCCTCATCTATGGGGTCATCGCCTTCTGAACCAAGCTCTGAGTCTAGTGAGAACTCACCAAGGTCAGGCTCATATGGCTCTCTAGCGGTGGAAGAAGGGCGAAAGAGTCTCTCCGGTGCAATGTGGCGAACTACACGAACTAGGCGTGAGATGAAGCGAGATTGGCACTCCACTATCTTCTCCAGCTTGTTAACACGGTCTAGAGCTTGGTTCGCGGCCATGCCAGTAGTGAGAACATGGCGTTCTTGGTGGCGGCGTTGAGTCTTGACTGCATGCTGAAGTGTGCGATAGGTGAGCATGGGGAATGATGGTTTCTCACTTGATGGAACATAGAAGTCTTCCTCATTGGGCTGGAAAGTGACAACACCTGAGCGTAGGCTTGGGATGTCTCATGTGGCAGCAAGACAAGGGAAGTGTTGGCTGGACCAATTGGAAACTCATAGCAAAACCGAGTTGGGTCTTTAGTCCAACGGTTTAGGAAGTGGATGTGCTGAAGAGCATGGAGATCCAAAGGGGTTGGCTTGGGTAGTGGCTCATAGTTGGGAATGTCAATCCCCACATGTACTATGGCCGTGATAAGCCTCCCAAAACGAACACAAAGCTTCTTGTTGCCTTCCAAGTCTTGAGCTAGCTTCCTCACATTGATGAATGTCTTGGCAAGTAAAAGTCCAAGGTTGGCCTTGTACTCATGCTTGATGAATGGTGTGGTGAGGATGTAGAACTCATCAGTTGTGACCTTGTTGGCTTCTTGTTTGCATTGGAAAGTGGTGGAGATGAGGCGGTGCACATAGCGAATGGCTGGATGAGTGATTCTAGACACCTTTGACCTTGAAGGCAAGAATGGTTCATTGGCAAAGTGTGTCCAATCAGCAAAGGCAGCTTGTTTCCTCTTTGAGTTCTCCTTGAAGTCATGTGCTGTCTCATTGGGAAGTCCAAAGAGTTGGCATAGAGCTGAGATGGAGATGCGCCCATTGGCATCGCCTATCTTGAAGAGTAGGAGTCCATCACCAGCTGGTTGGTCTCCATTGTGGTTGGGAAAGGCAAGAGCTACTGTGGAGAGGAACTCCTTGGTGAGTTGTGAGTACTCACTACACTCTAGCTTGAAGAGCTTGCTCAAGCCTAGCTTCCTTATGTACCATGTGACATCATCTCTTATCTTGAGAAGGTCAAGGGTTTGGGTGTCCATCTTCACACAAGGTTCGATGTTCACCTTCTCCATTGCCTTCTTGCACTTTCTTGGGTCTTGGATTTGTTCTCCAACAAAGCTTACAAGTGCCCAATCATCTTCTCCTCTTGGACTCTCCACATGTTCTTGACTTGCATCAATGGAATGTGGTGAAGTTGGTATTGCTGCTCTTGCATTGGAGCTACTACTCCCTAGCTTGATTTGTTTCTTTGGTGGTTGCCATGAATGGGTTCTTCTTCTTCTTCATACTCTCATTTCCTTTTGTCTTTGCCATTGGTACCTACAAGAGCAAATTCTTGGGAAGAGAATATGAGTTTGTGATTAATGCAAAAGAAGAATAAGCTAATTGAGTTGTAATAATGATATGGAATAATGGAACAACTCAAGGCTTAATCATGAATCAAAGAACAAAATGGAAATTTCACTTTTTCAAAGTTAATTTTCGGATTTTACTGTTCATCCCAAGATTATGGTGCTTAAAATCAAAATTTTCAGCAAATCAAGAGAAATTGAGTTTCTAATCCAAGTAATCACTAGATAAACTAATGAATTGAAGTATGCCTAAGCAATTTCACCTTTGAATAAGGGGTTTGGAATGCCCAATAAGTTTTGTGAAAAACTATTCAATTGTGAAATTAAACTTCTAAATAACTCTAAACCACCTAGGTTCCACCTAGCTAAGTTCATTACAAGACTAATAAGATGGTAATTTCAAGTTTAGACAAGAGTTTAGACCAAACAAGAAACTTATTGAAATTTCGATCTTGCATAAACATGGGATAGTTAGAGTTAGAAGACATACCTTGTGTGTTGAAAAGTGAATAAGGTTGCAAGAGCAAGTAAATTCCAATTTAGAGTTATGAACAGTAAAAGTTTTGAAATCAAAGCTCTTAGAGTTCCTCTAATGGAGTTTAGGGTTTTGGAGAAGAAAGAGAGGTTCTTGTTGTTTTCAAGGGAAAGGTAAAGTATAAAAGATCAATCCTTAATTTTCCTTTTCAAATTCGAATTTTGATTGAAAACCGGTTTAAGTTGGTTTAGGATTGGTTAAAACCGGTTTGAATTAATGAAAAGGGGACTTACCTTGGCCGAGAAAAGTTTGGGCCGATGGCCGATGGATTTTGTCGCGGTCGAGCGATTTGGTCGGCCAAATTCGTTGGACGAGAAATTTCGGCCGAGGCCGATCGTTTGTTTCCCGGATCGACCGGCACGGTCGGTCCGTTCCGATACAAAATCCGGCCGATCGCGGCCTGTTCTTCCTGTTCGTGCGTGCCGCGCGACGGTTTTGTCGCGCGATAGAGTAATCCGGCCGAGCATAAGCCGTTCCTTCCCGGCTCGACCGGTTTGCGCGTCCGCGGCCAATGGTTTGGCGCGGATTGTGTTTTCACACCTTTTTCTCCTTCTATCCTATCTTAAAACAAAGAAAACACAAAAGCAAAACAAAAACTAAGAAATTTAAAGAAAGAAAAGTAAAAGTACCTCATGGGTTGCCTCCCATGCAGCGCTTGTTTTAAGTCTTTAGCTTGACTGTAAGGCTTGGCGCTCAGGAGAAGATGGAGACAAGAGGCATCTTGATCCTCCAAGTCTTTTCTCCTTGCAATGAGTATCTGGTGGGTGATTCACAGCTGGATAGACAATCTCTCCATGAATGTCCCTTGGCACACTGCCTTAGGAAAAAGCTTTAGAGTTCTTGTCAACTTTCTCCTTGAATCCTTCTAGATTCTCATCAATAAGCTCCTTTGGGAATAGAAGCTTCATGTTGCGGCCAGACCTAGGCTTTCTAACCTTCCTTCTTGGCTTGGCCTCATCTTCAATCTTGGTTGATCCCTTGGGCGGTTTTGGTGTAGGGGCCTTAGTCTTACTCCTTGCTTGTTGGCAAGCTGCTTGGGCTTAGGAATGGGATCTTCCTTGATTGTTCTTCAGTTTCTCCTTCTTGGGGTGGCTTCAAAGTAACTTTCTCCTCTTGGACCATGTCAACAAAAGAGTTCTTTGTTGAACACATAGGGAAGAACATACCCTTGTTCACCTTGTTGAAAGAGATTCTTTGATTGGGGAAATCAAATATGGCACCCACAGTAGACAGGAAAGGGGTTCCAAATATGAGAGGTCTATGGCTACTCTCTCTCATTTCCACAATCTGGAAATCGGTAGGGATAGAGCAATTTCCAATCTGCACCATCACATTAGGCACAAAGCCATAGGGGTTTGTGAGAATGAATCAGCATAGTTGATGGAGATGGATGATGGCTCTATCTTGGTGAGGCCTATCTTGTCAGCTATCCTCTTAGACATGATGTTCACATTGGCTCCTGTGTCACACAAAGATTGCTCAAGAATGTTACCTTTGATGATACAAGGCACAACAAACTTTCCTGAGTTATCAGTCTTGGGGATAATCTTTGGGAAGAGTCTTCTCTTTCTAGCTCGATTGGACTCTCTCTCTGGGTAATCTCTTCAGGCCAAATCATGCAATCAACAGTAGGTTTTGAAAGCATCCATTCTGGAACTTGGTCTTCAAATCTTTCTTCTATGGCGGCTGAGTTGCAAAAGGACTTCTTGGATTCAGCTTCCTGTCTCTTAACAGCTTCCATAGTTTGAGTGACTTGAGTCTCTAGTTTCTTCACATGAGTGGCAACAGCATCATACTTGGTGTTGAGATTGCTGAACAAAGTGTCCATCTTCTCATACATCTCTTTGTATTTCTCTTCTGGCCATCCATGATCTGTTGGAGGATTCCTTCAAATCTCCCACCTTGTTGGTTTGGAGGAGCTTGATTTGGTGAAGAAGCATATGGCTCCTTGGGCGGATATGATGATCTCTGCTCATACCCTTGCCTTGGCTGAAATTGACTTCCTTGAGATTGGTAAGGAGGTCTTTGTTGTTGTGGATACCTTGGAGGATACACTTGGTCTTGAGGATTCTCCACATTGGGGTTTCTATAAGACATGTTGGGGTTTGGGCGATAGCTTGGATTGTATCCCTTGTTCCCATAGTTTCCAATGTAGTTCACATCTTCTTCATTGGCTTCATTAGAGAAATCTCCCATGCATTCTCTTGATGGGTCTTCATTAGCATCACTCATCCCTTCTATTGCATTGATATGCTTGAGCTGTCCCTTAAGAACTTGAGCCATCATGTTCTTGAGTTCAGTCATTTGAAAAGAATCAGGGGAGCTAGTAGTGGTGCGGCTTGAGCGGTCATAATCAGGACAGTTGTTACAATCACTAGCTGCAAGATTCTCAATAAGAACCTTAGCTTCATCAACAGTCTTGGTCATGAAGTTTCCATTGCTTGCAGTGTCCAATGAAAGCTTGTACTTGTGGTCTATGCCACGATAGAAGATGTTCCATAGGTTTCCCTCATTGAAACCATGATTAGGGCAGTCCCTAATGTACTCCTTGAATCGATCTAGCGCCTCATAGAAAGATTCATTGTTGGCTTGGCGAAAGTTGGAGATCTTGTTCCTTACAGAAACTGATCTTTGCTTGGTGTAGAAGTGGTTGATGAAAGCGGCCTTGTACTCATCCCAAGTGGTAATGGAGTGAGCTGGCAGAGACTTCAACCATCTTGAAGCTTTGTCGCCAAGAGAGAATGAAAAGAGCTTGCACTTCAAGTAGTCAGCAGAGACTCCATTGGATCTTGTAGTGCTGCAAATTTCTTCAAAGTTTTCTATGTGATCAAGAGGATGCTCAGGCTGGAAGGCCATTGAATTGGTTCTGTCTAACCAATGCTATGATCTGAGGCTTGATCTCATAGTCATTCCTTGCAGGAAGTGGTGGATGGATAGGGTTTCTATCCATGAAGAAAGCATCGGCAGAGTCATAGTCTCCGATTGTTTGGTGCTCCGCTTGAGGTTGCACATTCACATCTCCAGCAGGATCTTGTGGATTAGGAGGAGGAGGAGGTGGATCTCTTCCTTCTTCATTAGCGCGCGCCACTTCAGCGGCGTGAGCGCGAGCTGCTTCGTCGGCCATCTCTTGGGCTTTTGCTTCCTAAGTCTTCTCAAGCTTGTCTATCTCTGGATGTTCAACTAGGTTGTCCTTGTTGGACCTCCTAGTCATGCACCTGAAAAGAGTCTAGGAAACAAGTTAAATCAAAAGGGAAAAACAAAAAAAAGCAAAAATCAAAGAAAAGAAATCAAAAACTGAAAATTCAAAAGCAAAAGAAAAGCAAAACAGGAAAAGGTTCTAGACTAGATCCTAGTCGAGTTCCAAAGGTACTGCTGCAGTCCCCGGCAACGGCGCCAAAAACTTGATGTGAGTCAGGTTTTACCAAACTCCTAGACCTCTGCAAGTGCACAGATCGCGGAAGTATGGGTATCGAACACAAGGACTGGCTATTGAGTACACTTTGAAACTATGGATTTTGGATCAAGCTAAAACAAAAGTATGATTGAGGTTGTAATGGTGAACCGAACTAGCAAGTAAACGAGGTTGTAAATCAATAAAGGAAAAGCGCTAGGTCATAGGGGCTATCGCAGAGAAGCAAGCAATGATCAATGAAACAATGATAGATGAATTGATTAGGGATATTGGGATATTAAGAACCGTCTAGAACACAGATCACGAATATAAAACCATTCCACTTTCGAGGCTCCGGCTCCTTTGTTAATCTACCTAGTCGCTAAACTTTTGGTATGTCCCTAGGTGATTAAATCAAGCATTAGAATGAATAGGTTCTGATACAGTTCACTAGATATAGTAGATCAACTTTCGCAGTCTAAGAAACCTAGCTTGTCAAAGAATATGTCCGGCGAATGATACAACACTGTCGAGGCTCAAATCAACCTAAGATCGGATTACTAGATGCGCGGTAAAGCAATCAGCATTAGTTAAGTGCACAAGACGAGACAAAGACTCTAATATAATCCCTAGCTAATCATTGAAATCAAAGATCATGCAAGCAACTCATTGAATAGTAACCCTAGCAACCTAACTAGTGGATTACTCAGACATGATCAAAGCAAACACACATAGAGATGAAGAAAACATGATTGCAATAAAACTTAGAGTAGGAAATCGAAATACAAGGGCGGCTCTCTTTTCACAAGAGGCTAAAAAGCTATATATATAGTGCTAGGTCTTTTAGAGGCGGCTTAGGGTTAAGCCGGGCTTGAAAATATGAAATCGGGCTTCAAAACGGGCTTCGGGTCGACCGCGGCATGGCGTGGAGTGGTCGTGGCTCGGCCGACCGCGGGACATTGCTTGCCGGGTCGTGCTGTTCAGTCGGCCGGATGGTCTTGAACTTTGGCCGAGGTTAGACGGACGGATTGGTTTTGGCCGAGCGCGAAACAAACGTTTCTCGGCCAGCTGCTATGCGCGGTTTGGGCGCTGATTCTCGATAGAGCCGTCTGGACCAGTCTTCACTCTTTTGGTTGTAACTCCTTTTCTACTCATCCAAATTAGGCCGTTCCACTTGCGTTGGAAACTTAACTCACTCAGAGCACGCAGGGAACAGGTTTTGATGAAATCCATTGAGTAGATCTTTTTCTGGGCCCTCTTAAAGTTGATGTTTGTGTATGAAGAGGCTTGAAGTGCAAATCCTATGGTTTTGCTCCAAAATGCATCATTTCACCTGTTTAGACTCTAGACACTATAAACACAGTAAAACTACCTTTTTAGATAGAAAACCTGCCAAAAACCATTAGAAAACAATACTAAAATAGTATAAAAAGCATGTAAAATAGATGTATATCACTGTGGCATGATTCCGTTTGCCGGCAGTCCTCAAACGATGTGTCTCCTTGCTTGATTGTCATCTGGTTCTTGGTGGAGCTGTGGTTGGTTCCATTTGCCGGAAGTCCACAGACAATAACTCTCCGTGTTTCCATTTCTGAATCACAATAAATTGAAATTAATATCAAATTTCGAACACAAGACTTAATTTTTCTTCAATTATTTGTTTCAAATCACAAGAAGGAATTATGAATGAGAGAGTAGTCATTAAATTTCCGGAGACTACGGATGCAACTTTTCAATTAAAATCAGATAGCTATATGTTTAAATGCAGAGAACATAAGTAAATGCTTAGATAATTTAAGAACAGCCTCAACCGAGCAAGTAATAACGAAAAAGCGATGAGAAGGTGGTCAATCAAATACCCAAATAAGAATGCTTAATCAGAAACGCTGAAGCGAAAAAGAAAAACATACCTTGAGAGGACATAAAGATAAAGTGTCTCCTTCTTGGGCAGGGATGATCCTTCTTTACCAACCGGTGAAATCGAACAAATTAAACGGGAAACCCTAGTTTTGGTAAAGAGATGGAGGAGATCGGAACATGAGGCGAACGGACAGTCAAATGACGCATGAAGCTTTGGTAAAGTGAAGGAGGAGATCTGAAATTGAGTGATGAAGTGGTGGAGTGGGATTAAAAAAAATCTAGTCTCTTAGGAAAGAATCACAGTCTATGGACGGCTAAGATTGCAAGATAAAAATAAGAATTAAAAGATCCAACGGTGTATGCTTCTCTAAGGCTAATATGAGTGATTACTACTAATTGGCTCCCATGGTGTAAGTGTTCATTTTAATCATGCCCCAATTTTAAAAGCTTGTAATAATTTATTTCAGTACTTCTTCTACATGAATTTTTTTTTTTTAAATATCATAATTCTAATTTCAATGTTTTCTAATTTATGTATAATTTCAAAAAAAGAAAGAAAAAAAAAAACGAAAATCAGAGTATGAAGAAGGGTTTAAAATGAAAGAGTGAATCAAAGAGTACGTAACTTATCTAATACTTTGTAACCTATCAGATTTCATATTGTAAAATATAATATCATATTCATTTGATTTTATGAAAGATATGTATTGTTCCATCTGAGTTTTTTTATTTGTCAAAATAATTTCCTAAACCATAATGAATGCCCTAAACCCTAAACCATTTGTCACCTTACCCTCAATCATAAATTGTTGGTGAAATAACTAACCAATAGTATGATTACATGTTTCATTGATATAAGGTTTAGAGAAAATTTAAAATTATTAGGTGTTTAATTTATCTAAACCCTAAAACATACCCTAAATGAAAATAACCCCTAATTGCAGACCTGAAACATATGTTTCTATATACTATCACATGCCGAAATATTAAAATATATTGTCACCTCGCTCATTATGAAAAGTTAAAAAAAAAACCTTGAATTAATATTTATTTTAAAATGCATCTCGTTTCATCAGTGTCATACATACGAGGATAAGTTTTACAAGTACAACAACTCAGCAGAAGAAAATGAGGTCTTAGAGGAACAATAGCTTGTCCTTTGGCCAAGCAACCGTAGTGCCTAATGCATCAGATATGTAAACAACCTAATTTGGTCTGCACACAGCTGCTTCACCAATCTTGACAACCTCTACCCAGACCTTGCTGACATTTTCCCCTAATGGAACGTGATGGACATGATCCGTTGGATTGGTAGAACACACTTTGCCTTCAGCTACTGTGCGTCCAGAGTTATTGCAATCTAGTAATATGCACTTCTGCTTTGGACTTTTGGTTGTAGACGTGCTGTAACTTGTACTCTATCACCGATAAGCATATAACAAAAATGTTAAACATCTATCACAGCAAACATAACAATTATAAGGTGAAACAATAAGATTAGAAAGTTAACCTGAGAGGATCTTCTCATTACTGCTTCCCGTGAAGATACTTGTTCCCCTGCAGATGCTTCATCGGCTGGTTTAGTCCTCGGCTCTATCCTATTGATTGGCCATGCGATATTTGCATTAAGTGCATCACCCATCAAAACCATTTCCGCAGTTGGTCTCCATAAAGAAGCTTCAAAGTTTATCACAAGATCAACTTTCACAATAGCAGCAAACCGACCCAAAAAAATCTCGTTAATCAGCTCTTTCGGGTTAGTGGAAATGGTTACACCCTCGGCAACAACTTTCAATTCCGACATCAGTACTACTATCCTGCAGTCCCATATGTTCTAAGTTAATAATCTAAGAGATAATGTAATAAACGTTTCTAGTAAAATCTCAGGTAGAGTTAAATTTACCTTGGATCCATGTTACTGTCATTGACGTTCAGTATCAGTTTGTCATTAGGCCACGGAATTTTGGCTCCCACAGCATCTCCAAGTGTGTACATTTTCGCTGTTGGACGCCAAATACCTGCTTCTGGGTCTAAAACAGTCTTGATGATTACTGCAGCAGGGTTACGACCAATAGAAATTTGACCAATCTTGTAATCTTTATCAGCAGAACAAAATTCTCCCTCTGCAACAACAACATCTTCATTCGCATACCAAGCCAATATCTGACATTTTACTCCTCGGTTGAGATCACCAACTTCGTTTTGAGAAGCCATATCCCCAGGGTTTCCCTGTATTACACAGATAAATCATTAAAACACACAAGTTGTTATTCAGGTGCATGATTCACAATATGATTACTAGTGAAGGACTTACGTTATTTCCAGCTAAGTCACGGAAAAATTTCTTCAAGTCTTGAACCTCGGTTTGCAATTCTTCAATTCTTGAGTCTCTAGCTTGAACAAATGCTAGCTTCGTTGCAGTGATCCCTCTACCCATACCTCTGAGTCGTCCAGGTTTGTCTTTACCCAGAATCTTACTCACGGCATTTTCTCTTACATTATCACCTGATGTAGAGTCCATTTGACTATCAAGAGTTTGTATTTGTTCCTGACACAGAAAACAAAACAAAATAGCCATCACGTTTACAGTCGGAAACTGCATCTGACAACAAATTAACAATCCACTGAATTCTTACAAATGTGTCAGCAAACTCAGGCCTCACAGGCCTACCATCGGAATGAGTATGTCCTGCAATCCAAACCTTACTCCTATTGACCTTTTTTTGGATCGTCACTATTAGAATTCTACAAAACATAGTACTTACTTGTCAGCAAATCTCCAACTCATTGAACCCTTACATTTATCGAGAAATACACTGACCATTTCATGGGCTGGGCGATGCATTCCTTTGCGACTAGTGGTGTGTGGTATCTGAGCCCTCCTCAATCCCCTGTACCAATCGCTTTTCTCCTACAAACATAAACCAATTATATTATGTTACTGAAACAACTTAGTAACGGATAAGAGTTAAGAAAAGCTTAGTAACCTGAAAAGCTTTGCTAGTCCTACTCTTGACCCAAGCGTTCCATGCATGAACAGATGTGATGTTGCTTGGTTTTAGCTCAACTCTCTCTGTGCTACTCGTTGCATCTCGAATTGCGCCTACAAGTCTAGACTTCCCAGACCTCCACAAACAACCCATTTGTCTGAAAACCGCATCTTTTTGCCATTGATGGTGCAAATCAAACCTCGCCTGAAGCAAATTAAGACAAAGTTAGACATGGTTAAGATAACCAAAACAATGGACATGAACCAACTAATCTACCCTCACCTGTATCTCCTCCCATATTGTATCCTTCGTTTAAGTATCCACTTTATACCACCGATTATATAAAACTGGGACATGTTCTCGCACAAGAACACCGAGAAATGATGATAGTGTTACTGAACCGGATCCTGCATGTTCACCGACCTGACTGAATAACACTTTCACTCTGTCCTCAGGATCTTTGGCCACTTTACGCATTCTGGTTGGTCCTCTATTCCTTTTTTTTTCTTGGTGTTTGAATCTGGTGTCTCAGCCGTCTGACTGTCAGGCAACCTTGTTGCACCATCAGTGTGGTTAGACTCTGGTGCTTGTGCCACAGTATTTTCAGATTCGTGTTCCTTATTCGTAGTTTGATCTCCCACAGGCTGATCACCTTCTTCAGCGTTCGCTTCTTGGCCTGCATCATGATGTTGAGCATCTTCTTTAGCGTTCGCTTCTAGATATGCATCATCATGTTGATCATCTCCTTCTGTATCATCTCCATTTCTCGCAAAAACAGTCAAACCATGTCCTAGTTTAACCACTTCTGAAATCAACTTTCTCTTTTGCTTTTTCTTTCCCCGTAGAACAGGAGGTGTGTCCGTAAAGCCTTGGTGAGGAACATTTCGATTGCTTAACCCTCCACGCATCAACACCATGTTTTATCCTCAAAAACCTAACCAAAAAAGCAGAATTAAAATCATATAGCCTACTATGACTCCTTCACAGTCATCCCTAACATAGAAACTCTCATCGTCAGAAGATTGATTTCCCAAATCATCAACTTCCTGAGCTGATAATGGTGCACCAACAAATTCCTACTCTGTCTCCAACTCGTGATATCCCCTTGGAGGTGCCCTCATAACAACATACCACGACGAGGAATCATTTTCTCTGGAATAGAAGACTTGTTTAGCTTGTGATGGGAGTATGTACGGATTTCTCATATATGGCAACTGGTTCATATGAAGGTTCACCAACGTGAAGCCATCTTCTTCTTTCAGTCTGTATCCTCTGTTGGCCCAACTGCATTTGAATAATGGTACAGTGAACATGTGGTAATCCACAAGTATGATCTCCTTGATCACTCCATAATATGTAACTATGTCAGCTATTTGTCTTGTATCGCGTGCTGATGCTCTGCACATGCTGAAAGCTTCGTACGTGACTCCACTGTTCTGTGTCTTCAGCTTAACATCTTCAGTATGAAAGCGGTGGCCGTTAATGACAAATCCTTTATGGCTTTGTGCAGTATGCCTAGGTCCAAAAGCCAACCACCTCAGCTTCAACAAGTGCTCCACTGAGTTGGAAGGAATCTATTATGAGAACAACAATGTTAGTGGCAGACAGTGACAAATAAAATCATATCAAACATAAGAGGTGTGGATCAAACCTTTGTCTTTATCCAGTCTGCAAACTGCTCTGTATTAAGTTTCCATAACTCCGTTTCATTCGTAGCACATCTCACATCCCGAGCTTGCAATTCTTCTAAATGCATCTGATGATAGGATTTGTGTGTGGATGTGAAAAGATATGAAATGAGATGAGTGGAATGCAATCAGTGGTATATGATGAGGTGGTAAGATGCAAACACAAACACAGTCAACAATTCCCTTTAACCATGATAGTTGATGTAGTACAAAGGGTTATCAATCCAAAATGGGAAACTTGTCACTCTTTGAGAATATGAAACAACCAGAAAGTCAAGCAAGCAGTTATAGATTTGAAGTAACACTAACAACCTAAAAAAATGAAATGCAGTGCAATAAAAGTAAACAAAGCAGTGAAGTAGCAGCTCGACCAAGAGCTCGAGTCGAGTCAGAGCAAAGTACCAGCTCGATCGAGTTTAGGGACGAGTTGAGACAAACAAAGCTAAAGGTGACGACTTTAACAAGATAAGAGAGAATTAGGGTTCAAGACAGGGTTTTGCAATCAAAGGAATCTACACTTAATCAATCTAGCTCTTAAAACTCCTTGTATCAAGGCTTCTCTTGATATTGGGCTTCTCAATGCCTAGCCAACCCTTTCCCAAGGTGGAGGCTATCAACCAAGGAATGATCTCAGAAACAGGGGGTTAGCCAGTGAGAATCAAACCTTGGAGGCTATAGGATCATTGCCCAAACTAATCCATCCAACCCCTTAGACCTCTATGTCTAGAGCAAGAGATATTGGAGCTCTTAGTGGATCTTTTCCAGCGAATGCCATCACTTTCGTGTGGGGAGTCGCCTAAGGACTTACAAGCCAGGGGTAGTGGTCATGTAGCCTTAAGATCTATCCAAAAGAGAGAGAATCTAGATTAAGACCATAAGCTAGAAGGATTAAGCATATGAAACCTCTAATCTATCCCATCTCAAACCCCAATGGGTAACTACTCACTACACATGAATGTAAACACAAGCAAATGCAATAAAAGAGACATCATAAGAAAGAGGAGATGAAATTAAACAACTTTTATTGAAATAAGCAAGTGCAAATACAAAGAGATTATCCAGGATCTAGGATTCAAGAAGCAAGAGCTTCAAGAACACAAAGATGGATTAGATCTCTAAAAAGTAAAAGACAATAAATTAAAAGAAACTAAAACAAAATAATCTAAAGCTTGGTGGTTTTTTCGTGGCTTAGAGCCTTTAAATACAAAGAGGATTAGGTTTAGGGTCAAAGGAAAGTCAAGGGGGAAGCAACATTTTTCGGGTTTGACTTTGACTTCTCAGCTCGATCGAGTTGAAGCTTGGCCGGTCGAGTTGAGGAACTCGACCGGTTGGTCGAGTAGACGGTCGAGCTGGTCTTCAAGATGGCTTCTCCCTTCTTCCTTTGCGTATCCAGTTGAGCTGCTTCCATGTGCCAAGTCCCTCCATGCTCCTCATGTCCCATATGCTCCAGAATGCTCCAAAAGACCTATTTCAAAGGACCAAACATGCATATGTATGCAAATGCAACCTAAAACTAACATGAATGCATAAGAAGAGAAAAGGAACAAGATATGATGCAAATGGAAGCTAAAACTATGCAAAAGATGCATAAAAGATGTGCTAAAACTATGTAAAATGCAAGTACATCAGCATCCTGATTATTCAATTAGATTAGACAACTGAATTATTTATAGCAAAAGTCTGAAAAAAAAAGTGGCAATGATCGCCATATGGATCATGATCGCCAAGTTCATCAAAATGTATCGATGTGCTGTGTCTTTATCTCCATCCGAAAGAGTAACATCTGTAGCCTTTTGCAATGGCCGACCTTCGAGAACATTTCCATCAGCCTGAACATCTTCATTGCGGTTCACTGGTTCTTGAACTGGTACAGACTTACGCAAGAACTCCATACAGAAAGCTATGCATTCTCCTGCCAAATAACCCTCAGCCATACATGCTTCCGGTCTTGCATAATTTTTCACATAAGCCTTAAGTGTTTTCATGTACCTGAAGTTATATTAGAAACTTAATTAGAGGAACAGCATATAGTAAAGCACAACTAGTTCTGAGAGTTATGACTAGGTAACTTCATACCTCTCAAATGGATATATCCACCGGAAGTGTACTGGCCTCCTAATCGTGCCTCCCTTGCTAGATGTAAAGGAAGGTGGAACATGATATCAAAAAGTGATGGAGGAAAGAACCTCTCCAATTGGCACATAATCTCTGCATTCTCAGACTCCAAGGAGATCATCTTCTCGGGGTCAATGACACGCTGACACAATCTGTTGAAGTAATTGCATACTCTATTCACAGCAATCCTAGGTCCTTTTGGCAGCAAGCCTGACGCAGTCGGAAAACCCTAGGAATAGCAAGCACTAAACCTATCAAATTCAAGTTCACAAGCATGAACTTGAAGAGAAAACTCTAGAAATCCACCAGATTAGAAAAATGCTCTATGCTTTGATTAATTAAAATAATAAGATATGATATGTCTCATGGCTACAACTTAAAAATGTTTATATAGAAAAACAAAACCCTAGAAAATATTTAAAACCCAAAAGGAAAAACATAATTAGAGAAAAAGAAAATTTGTGAAAATCTCCTAAATATCTCCTACATCAGTCTCCTCCACCTCTAAAGAACTCGACCTCGAGTTCTCTTCTAGATTAAGAATCTCATATGAATGATACTCATGAATGCCAACCACATTGAATGTCTTAGAAACTGGAGAGCCACTACATAAACATCATCATTGATTTTCCGCAACACCTTGAAAGGACCATGTTTGTTAGGTTGGAGCTTATTATTCCTCAAGTTCTTTTCTGGATATATAATCACATCTTCTTTAAAAGGTTGACCATAGTTTCTAGGTTGTGCTTTGTTGTATGTAACAACTTGAAACTTCTTGTTATGGAGGAACACAATTAAATCATCATCCTCTTTGAAAACTTTGGTTCCCTTCTGCTTGCCAACATCAATCTTTTTCTTCCCTTGGTCATCTGCAATCAGATTCTTAAAATCTTTGTAGATCACTGCCACTCCTTCTGGAACTTCTGTCTTCTCCACTTCTGGGATTTCATAGGATAAAGAAATATCTGCCTTAGTGTGAAAAGCATTATTATCATGCAGATTCTGTTGATCAATCTCTTTCTCTACAAAGTCTTCTTCAAGAGAACTAGGGTTTTCATCTCTTGGAACCCTAATTGAATCTCCTTCTTTGTCTATTTTCTGACTTTTGCCGGCTATCTTCAATCTATCTATTAGCACGTTCATGTGATTGCTAAAATCGGCACTATTGTCTTGAACATGTAGAACCCTAATTCGTTCTCCTCTCCTTCTCTTTGTCCGGCTTTGATAACCTTATTGGTTAAAGCTTCCGTCTGATTGGTTAAAACTTTCATCTGATTAGTCAAAGCAGTTAGGGCCGAGGTTAGAGCCACGGTAAAACCCTGAAAATCTGCTTTGGTCAACGGTTGATCTCCCATAGCTGTTCAAGCTCGAAAAAGAGACAGGAGAAAGCCTGCTCTGATACCACTTGACGCAGTCGGAAAACCCTAGAATAGCAAGCACTAAACCTATTGAATTCAAGTTCACAAGCATGAACTTGAAGAGAAAACTCTGGAAATCCACCAGATTAGAGAAAAGCTCTATGCTTTGATTAATTAAAATAATAAGATATGATATGCCTCATGGCTACAACTTAAAAATGTTTATATAGAAAAACAAAACCCTAGAAAATATCAAAACCCAAAAGGAAAAACATAATTAGAGAAAAAGGAAATTTGTGAAAATCACCTAAATATCTCCTACATCAAAGCCTCTCAACGCAGCAGGTAATAAATTCTGGATAAGAACGTGGTGATCGTGTGACTTCAGACTTTCAATCATGGGAGGTTTAACTGATATACAATTGGCGATATTCCCGCAGTAGCTATCAGGGCCTCTGAACTTAGATAACCTCTGGGTAAATATAATTTTCTCTTCCTTGGACAGCCAGTAAACTGCTGGAGGCAGATACGTTCTTTTTCCTCTTGCCTCTGCGTGCAAGTGTCTGCGAATTCCATTGTCCTCTAAGTCTTTTCTTGCTTTCAAGCCATCTTTTGACTTAGAGCTTTGCATCAATGTAGACAGAATAGCATCAGACAAGTTCTTTTCCACATGCATCACATCAATGTTGTGACGCACCGGCAAATCCTATGACATGAGAAAACAAGTTATAAGCCCTACACGTTTTCTTAAAAAATATTAAAAAGTTACTTCACAGGAAGTACAAAGAGAATGTATTACCTTCAAATACGGCAAATCAAATAATATTGACCATTTCTTCCACCGCCACTGATCAGTGGACTAATCATACTCTTCAGACAGACCTGCCTCATCTTCTAACAAATCAGCTCTTTTCCATTTAGATTCCTTATCCAGAGGTCTTCCAAAATCATTTATGAAGGCTTTAAGTACCTCATATATTTCAGAACCCGTTTGAATCCTCTTTGCAGTCCCTTCCTCTATTGGGTTATAGAACCATGCCTTTATCCGCCTATAAGGATGATGATAAACCCCTAATTTACCCACTTTTTATACTGTTTTAGCATTGTTTTCTAATGGTTTTTGGCAGGTTTTCTATCTAAAAAGGTAGTTTTACTGTGTTTATAGTGTCTAGAGTCTAAACAGGTGAAATGATGCATTTTGGAGCAAAACCATAGGATTTGCACTTCAAGCAGCTCCATGCACAAGCACCAACTTTAAGAGGGCCCAGAAAAAGATCTACTCAATGGATTTCATCAAGACCAGTTCCCTGCGTGCTCTGATTGAGTTAACTTTCCAACGCAACTGGAATGGCCTAATTTGGATGAGTAGAAAAGGAGTTATAACCAAAAGAGTGGAGACTGTCCAGACGGCTCTATCGAGAAACAGCGCCCAAACCGCGCAGTCCGGCTGGCCGAGAAACTATTGTTTCCGCGCTCGGCCAAAGTCACTCCGTCCGACTGAAGTCTCGGCCAAAGTCCAAACCGACCGGCCGATCACGCAACGCGACCCGGGAAACATTGTCCCGCGGTCGGCCAAGCCAAACGCTCACGCCACGCCGCGCACGACCAAAGCGCGCGAGCCGGGAAACAAGGCCTCGCGGCCGCGCAACCCGTTCGCGTACCACGGCCGATGCATCCGTCCGAGCCGGGAAAGAACGTCCCACGTCCGGCCGAGATTTCATCGGCCAAACTCATCCGTCCGACCACGCCGGCCGACCGCATCATCCGGCCACGACCGTTCCGACTCGGCCCACGACCCGATGTCCGGCCGATCGTCCCGACCGACCGTCCCAACGCCGCGGTCGACCCGAAGCCCTTTTTGAAGCCCAAACTTATATTTTCAAGCCCGGCTTAACCCTAAGCCGCCTCTAGAAAGACCTAGCACTATATATATAGCTTTTTAGCCTCTTGTGAAAAGAGAGCCGCCCTTGTATTTCGATTTCCTACTCTAAGTTTTATTGCAATCATGTTTTCTTCATCTCTATGTGTGTTTGCTTTGATCATGTCTGAGTAATCCACTAGTTAGGTTGCTAGGGTTACTATTCAATGAGTTGCTTGCATGATCTTTGATTTCAATGATTAGCTAGGGATTATATTAGAGTCTTTGTCTCGTCTTGTGCACTTAACTAATGCTGATTGCTTTACCGCGCATCTAGTAATCCGATCTTAGGTTGATTTGAGCCTCGACAGTGCTGTATCATTCGCCGGACATATTCTTTGACAAGCTAGGTTTCTTAGACTGCGAAAGTTGATCTATCTATATCTAGTGAACTGTATCAGAACCTATTCATTCTAATGCTTGATCTAATCACCTAGGGACATACCAAAAGTTTAGCGACTAGGTAGATTAGCAAAGGAGCCGGAGCCTCGAAAGTGGAATGGTTTTATATTCGTGATCTGTGTTCTAGATGGTTCTTAATATCCCAATATCCCTAATCAATTAATCTATCATTGTTTCATTGATCATTGCTTGCTTCTCTGCGATAGCCCCTATGACCTAGCGCTTTTCCTTTATTGTTTACAACCTCGTTATACTTGCTAGTTCGGTTCACCATTACAACCTCAATCATACTTTTGTTTTAGCTTGATCCAAAATCCATAGTTACAAAGTGTACTCAATAGCCAGTCCTTGTGTTCGATACCCATACTTCCGCGATCTGTGCACTTGCAGAGGTCTAGGAGTTTGGTAAAACCTGACTCCGCATCAGATGACCGTGTCTTAGACGCCTCCTGTTGCCCATATATACATACTTTCGACTAAACTTCAACCACCTATGTGGAGTATCCTTTCCACCAACTTTACATCCGGCCAATGTCCCTAAGGCTGGATAGTCACTGATACTCCACAGCAGAAGAGCTCTTATTGTAAAGTTCTCTTTTAAGTATGCGTCATAGACCTCAATTCCCTCATTCCACAAATCCTTTAAATCATCTACCAGTGGAGCTAGGTAAACATCTATGTTGTTGCTCGGAGCTGTTGGACCAGGAATCAACAAAGTCAACATGATATTCTCAGCCTTCATACACATAGGAGGTGGCATGTTGTAATTCACTAACAGCACTGGCCACGTACTATACTTAGTATTCTGTATGGAGAAAGAGTTCATCCCATCCGTAGAAAGACCTAATCTAAGGTTTCTTGGTTTAGCAGCAAACTCAGGCCATTTATCATTGACTTGTGCCCAAGATAAAGAATCCACAGGGTGTCGCATTGTACCATCTTCAGATTTATTGCTCGAATGCCACTGTAAATCCTCAGCAATCCTTACAGATCTAAACATTCTCCTGAATCTCTCTTTTATCGGAAAATACCTAAGGACCTTCGTAGGAATTCCCTTCCTTTCCTCACCATTGTGCTTATCTACCTCCCATCTAGACGCACTACATCTTGGGCAGCTTTCTATCTTATCAAACTCCTTCCGGTATAGGATACAATCGTTCTTGAATGCATGAATCACATCATATCCAAACCCGAAAACCTTCAAAAACTTCTTCATCGCATATGTAGTCTTTGGCAGCACATTGTCCTCAGGTAGCATGTCATGCACTGCTGTAAGTAGCTGGTCAAAGTAATTCTCTGACATTCCACTCTTCACCTTTATGCGGTAAAGGGCCATGATTGCAGAAACCTTTGTGTACTTAAGACAACTCGAGTACAATGGAGTCTCAGCATCTCTCAACTTCTGCCTAAACTCAAATTCTTCTGTAGCTTCACAATCCTTAGAATCTCCTCCACTGTTCGTTGATGATGGTGGACGAATGCAGTCATCCGCAAAATATGCAGTCTTTAGCAAATCATAAGCCTCAGTTTCTATCCGACATATCAGCCCTTCTCTCACCATGCATGCTCCAACAAGAATTCCTCATGTACTTCTTATCCATACCCTTAATCACTAGATGCTCAACAACTGTATCTATTGCTTGATGGCAAACATTGTGACAATCTAACAAATCATTTCCGTCGGATTACCCAATCTCTTTGCAGATTCAGTCACAAAATTTGTGGCCCCTTCCACATATTCAAGGCTAGGCCTACATGTTTAAGCAGAAAATTCAGAGTTAATACTACAATGTAATTCACATTATCAGCTGCATTAAATCAATGTTCATATCTCAACAAGATTCATACCTTGAAAACCAAACCCAAGCCTTGTCCATATCACCAGAGTTCAACGACCGATTATACAATTTGTGATAAATAAGTTCAAATCTCAGAAACTCAAACAAGTTCAATTTGTCACTCGTATGAACACACAACTGAAAGAATGTATGGAAACAAAGATTAAGAAGATGTTCGCTTACGTAGTTTAAGGAGTCAACAAGAACAGAGACTTCAATCTGATTATAACACTATCTGGAAAAAAAAAAACGAGAAGAATCAATTAGTTTTCTTAGACCGACTGTTTAACAAAAACTTATAATCGAAACAGCAAATAGCAAATCGACTACCTTTAACCGCAGTTTCAACAATCTCCTCCTGCAAAAACGAAAAAAATTTTGAATTTTGATTAAAACCATGCAAACATCGAAAACACAAACATAATTTTATAAACTCGATTACATGCAACAATCCGGCTTACCCAGATGTAAAAGGACTGACAATGGAAGATCGACACAGAGATCCAACAACTAGATCGAAGAACTAGAAACAGAGCAAGGAAATATTGAGAGAACTTGATGCTGAATTTTATAGAAACTGATTCGAATCTGATGGGAAGAGGATCGAGAGAGTAAAATTGAGAGGAGATAAAGATGGTGGGGCTGAATCAACGGACAAAACCCAGATGACAGATCGAGCCAGAGACGGCGGCGATGGTGTATCGAAAGGGTTTTTAGAAAGAAAATGATTTTTTTTTTCTTCTTTTAGATCGAAAAATAGGATTTTTTTTAAAGTTAAGCGGGTTACTAAAATCGATTTTGCGGCAAAAGACTTATTACAGCGTTATAATCTAGCTAATTCTATCATAAATGTAAAGGATAACCCAAAAATGAAGCGCGTCCCAAATTTTATTCCCGCTTAATATAGCATAGTGTTTTGATTTCACAAACGCTATCAAATAATCAGCATATATATACAAAAAACGCTATCTTCAACTGCTATTAATACTCGTATTTCCTGTAGTGGTAGTCACTTGGACATGTGACTTTAATAGACAATCTTCATATTTAAAATTCGTCGGAACAAATTTAATTTGTCTCAAATTTAATTGTTTGAACAAATTGATCCTTTATCAAACCTCCGTTCATAATTGATAAAGGAGGTGGTGGGATTCAGTAGCATTGAATCTGGGAGTTGGCAAATGCTTCACAAGAGTTTCTCCTAATTGATCATGTGGCCCATCTCACAATCTTGCCGACAAAAGTAGGTATAGTGGTAGCGACAGCCAATCTCGGAAAATCACCAGCGGAGAAGAAGCCCACTGCGATATCGAGATCAGATGAACCAAGTTCTCCGGCTAGAAGTATAGGCCTGACAATGGGGGAAGGGAAACGGCAACGGCGGTTAGAGTTGAGCTTCTGCCGTTGCATATGGACCGGCAAGTGACTCAGATTTTTAGGTTGATAATTATATAGATCCGGCCGGTCTGGAGGTTTTGGAGGAGGATACGGCAGTGCGGAAGGGAGACTCACCCACAAACAGTAGCGACGTTGTGACTAAACTGTCGTCTCAGGTGACGGTTCCAGCAGCATGAGAAAGGAAGACGGGAACTTAGTTCTCAAGAGATCCGCCGCACCCATCAACAAAACCACGGAGATGCAGAACAATCGAAGAGAAGATGAAGAAAATAGAGTAGCTCTCGCCGGAAAAAGACTATGGTGGAAGAAGAAATAGTTCATCGGATTCCAGAGGAGGATCCGGGAAAGAGGGGAAGCTCCGATACATGGAGGAATCACCAGCGACAGAGATCCATCTGGAGATCAGAGCTTGACGATGGTGGAAAAGGGTGTCTTGGTTTGGGTGTCTCAGAGAAAACGACGTGATATTTATATATATAATAAAACCCAATTTATATATCAGCTGAATTTATTAAATGTATAAATATCGATAAAAATATCTATACATCAAACGCCATAAACTACTTCTTCTTATCATCTCATTTCAATTTATTTATCTTATATGTAATGCTCATCTCTCTCCAGCTTTTAGATACATCAACACTAGAAAGAGGAACACGTGGCACTCCCAGTAATGAATATTTTTTTTTAGAAATTTTTTTTTCGCACAAAGAAGATGTATTCGAAATTTCGGATACCAAATCATAAGGATTCAACTTTCCTCCAATGAATGTTTAGTTATCCTCGAGAAGTCATTTTCAATATCGATGTTAGAACTTCTATGTTCTATACCTCCAAAGCTTCAATTATCTCTCTCCATTTCATTGTTAGATAAAGATAAACTTAAGATACGATATATACAAATCTATGTTATGTATATCCAATATGTATAGATAAACTCTTGTATCGACTATATATAGATTGCATAATAATACAATCACTCTACGGAGTTTTCCCAGTTTACATGGTATCAGATGCTTAATCTAGCTATCAAGCTAAGCGATCGATCCTCTCCGATCTCTTCTTCTCTTAGAAATTTTCTCTTCTTCTCTTCTTCTCCTCCTATTCGTTTCCCCTTTATCACCTTGCTTCTCTCTTTATTCTCCTCTACAATAGCTATTGTTGCCCCTTCTAATGATAAGCCCTTTGGCATCTCTCAAATCAAAGCCTACATCCCTATCACACTTGATATGACAAAACTCAATTATCAAGCGTGGCGTGAACTTTTCGAAACCCACTGCTCCAGCTTTAGTGTTCTCGGACATATCGATGGTACCTCGATCTCTACACCTGCGACTGAAAAAGAATGGAAGGAGCTCGACGGATTGGTGATGATAGGATTTGTGTGTGGATGTGAAAAGATATGAAATGAGATGTGTGGAATGCAATCAGTGGTATATGATGAGGTGGTAAGATGCAAACACAAACACAGTCAACAATTCCCTTTAACCATGATAGTTGATGTAGTACAAAGGGTTATCAATCCAAAATGGGAAACTTGTCACTCTATGAGAATATGAAACAACCAGGAAGTCAAGCAAGCAGTAATAGATTTGGTAACACTAACAACCTAAATGAAAAGAAATGCAAATGCAAAAAAGTAAACAAAGCAGTAAGCAGCTCGACCAAGACTCGAGTCGAGTAGGAACAGTACCAGCTCGATCGAGTTTAGGGTCGAGTTGAGAAAAAAGCTAAAGGTGACGACTTTAACAAGATAAGAGAGAATTAGGGTTCAAGACAGGGTTTTGCAATCAAAGGAATCTACACTTAATCATCTAGCTCTTAAAACTCCTTGTATCAAGGCTTCTCTTGATATTGGGCTTCTCAATGCCTAGCCAACCCTTTCCCAAGGTGAAGGCTATCAACCAAGGAATGATCTCAGAAACAGGGGGTTAGCCAGTGAGAATCAAACCTTGGAGGCCATAGGATCATTGCCCAAACTAATCCATCCAACCCCTTAGACCTCTATTTCTAGAGCAAGAGATATTGGAGCTCTTAGTGGATCTTTTCCAGCGAATGCCATCACTTTCGTGTGGGGAATCGCCTAAGGACTTACAAGCCAGGGGTAGTGGTCATGTAGCCTTAAGATCTATCCAAAAGAGAGAGAATCTAGATTAAGACCATAAGCTAGAAGGATTAAGCATATGAAACCTCTAATCTATCCCATCTCAAACCCTAATGGGTAACTACTCACTACACATGAATGTAAACACAAGCAAATGCAATAAAAGAGACATCATAAGAAAGAGGAGATGAAATTAAACAACTTTTATTGAAATAAGCAAGTGCAAATACAAAGAGATTATCCAGGATCTAGGATTCAAGAAGCAAGAGCTTCAAGAACACAAAGATGGGATTAGAGCTCTAAAAAGTAAAAGACAATAAATTAAAAGAAACTAAAACAAAAATAATCTAAAGCTTGGTGGTTTTTTCGTGGCTTAGAGCCTTTAAATACAAAGAGGATTAGGTTTAGGGTCAAAGGAAAGTCAAGGGGGAAGCAACATTTTTCGGGTTTGACTTTGACTTCTCAGCTCGATCGAGTTGAAGCTTGGCCGGTCGAGTTGAGGAACTCGACCGGTTGGTCGAGTAGGGGTCGAGCTGGTCTTCAAGATGGCTTCTCCCTTCTTCCTTTGCGTATCCAGTTGAGCTGCGTCCATGTGCCAAGTCCCTCCATGCTCCTCATGTCCCATATGCTCCAGAATGCTCCAAAAGACCTATTTCAAAGGACCAAACATGCATATGTATGCAAATGCAACCTAAAACTAACATGAATGCATAAGAAGAGAAAAGGAACAAGATATGATGCAAATGGAAGCTAAAACTATGCAAAAGATGCATAAAAGATGTGCTAAAACTATGTAAAATGCAAGTACATCAACACCCCCAAACTTGAACTTTGCTTGCCCTCAAGCAAACAAATAGAACAAGAAAGAGATGAGGTTTGAAAACAGCTGATTCAACACTTAAAAACATGTCCTCAAAAGCGATTTGCTAAATGTCCAACTTAGAGATTCTAGAATGCAACAAGGTGAGAGATATTCATTAAGATTTAACCATGCTTATCAACATCAATCCCACTTCACAGTCACTCAAACAATGCATTCAAATCAGCAAATCCCTTTAACATTCATTAAGCAAAAACAGTGAACCAAAAACATGCAAGATCAATCAACTCATTTGGTTTCAAGGGTTTATGGGTTAAGAGACAAAGAGGGTCTCTTTTGTATGGTGGTTTAGTAACAGGGATCTCTCAAGAAAGTGGCTTTGCTTTGGCAGAAGGCTAAGTGTTAGAACCAAAGATGATGCAAGAACAGCAGCTCGAGCCGCCTAATCCTAACTCGATCGAGTTCAACACTTAGAGCTTTTTAGAACAAAATCCTAACTACCCTTTTTGGCATTTCGCCTTTGAAACTGAGGAGCTTTGCTCACTTTTCTTTTAAGAACTTCCTAGGGAGAGGCTTCTTGAGGTAACATCTAGCGGTTTGGGATTTTCTAAACACTTAGGGAACTTTTCTTTCCTTTTTGACACTTGAGGCTTTGCCTTCTTTTCATTCTACTTAGAACCCTTTTTACTTCCTTTTTTAACTTCCCAAACCTTTACTAGACCCTTTTTAACACTGCCAACTCCCTGGACTTAACTAAACTCTTTTTCCTTTGGGTTTTTCCCAACTTTTACCACTTTTCTGGTTTTTACACCCAACTCGATCGAGCTCGAGTTGGCACCCCCAAACTTAGCCTGAAAACAATCCCAAGAGAACTAGACAACTAGAACTACTGCCCCTGCCGGTTTAAACACAACACCTTATGCTAAGCAAAGCCAAGAAAGGTTCTCACATTCGCACAAGAGATAATATGGGGTTTGAAATGAAAAGGCTTAGGTTTAAGGTGTGGTAACTGTCTCAAAGATAGAGATCAGCTATCTGGACAAGCAAAGGGATATGAAAATAGGTAAAGAATGTCCAGATATGTATGTGGTAGCCATGAGTTGAAATCAAATGCAAGCATTGGTAATTAAAGATCAAGTTATGGTTCAAATAGATAGGGAAATGCATCAAATCACAGCAATGGTTGAATGAGATGTGCATGCAGTGATATGATCAAGATAAACATGGTTCTTGTTGCTCAATCAATCTCACCCTAATGCACAAAAGAATCTAAAAACAGGGCACTCAAGAAATCGCAAAAGATGGACAAGTTTTCAAAGTCAAATCAACAATGCAAGTGAAAAATGCAATCCTAAACAAGTCTAACAAATATGAATGCAAAAAGATGAAAATATTTTTGGATTTTTTGAAAATTTTATGATTTTTTTGGTTTTTCTATGCAAAAGATGAATGAAAAACTAAGAACAAAGAAAACAAGGTTAAATCATCTCTTGAACCCTCCCCCAAACTTAAATCACACAGTCCCTTGTGTGAGAAAAATTTAGTGAAAGATTCAAGAGGGCAAAACCAAGAAAAAAAAACAAATGCAAGAAAATATGAAATGGTATATACAAGGGTTGGTGTTTGGATACCTCAGTGCCCCCCAAAGAACTGGGAGGCTAGGTCGTGGTCTGGAGATGGGAGACGGCCATCAGGAGCACTCCATGCAACTGGGTTGCCTCACTCGATCGAGCTTGCGGCTCCTCTCTTCTCTTCTTCATCTTCAAAGTGGTGTGGCTTCCTTGGCCTTGGTGGAGCTTGGCTTGCTCGAAGCTTGTAGGGGTCCAGTGGTCTGGGAGAAGTCCTGGTACTGGTTGATCGTACTCGAATCCCGGATTCTCAATGGGGCTCCTCCAGGTCAACTCGACCCTCAGCTCGATCGAGTTGAGTTTCCTCTGTTTGGACTCGATCGAGTCCGGTGGTCGAGCTGGAGCGTCTGGCCTTGGAAGTCTTCCTCCTTCTCTGCGTGTTGTCTTCTCCTTCCCTTGGCTCGAAAGAAGAGGCTCTGTGAGGCTCTTGGGCAGGGAGCCTCCTTGGAGTGGTGAGGAGTGATCTACTCCTAGGGAATGTGGGGCCATGGACTTCTTCTTCTTGCTTGAAGAACCAGAAACCTTCTTCTCCAAACTTTTGATCTTGCTCACCATCTTGTCCATGGACTTTTGCATCTTCTCATGGCTTTCCCTTGCCATTTGTTGAACTTTTGGAGAAGTCCAATCCTCTTGTGGCAGCCACAACAGAGGGGTTCATCCTTGGAGCCTCATACTCCTCAAAGTAATAGCACTCAGGCTCACCCAAATCCGCATTCCTGGCTCGATCCTCAGCTCGATCCTCAGCTCGATCGAGCTCAGGCTCCTCTTCTCGCAAATCCTTCATGCCCAACTAATGTGTACACAGGGGGTCTGAAGTCAATGTTCTCACCTCCTAGATGTGGTGAGCTCAGGGTTGGGCAGAAGAAGCTTGGAGGGCCAGCCAATGGGTGTGAACTTGAATTGGAACCTCCCATCCAACTCCTTGTGCTCAATGAGGAGGTTGGTCTTGCAAAACTTGATGTCCATCCAACCTGGTTCAGTAGACCTTCTCTTGTCAGTTGGACTCCAGCTGCACACAAGATAGGTGTGATGACCCTCCAACACTAAGCTTTCCTTCCTCTTTGCCTAGTGTTGTAGGCTGTGATCTTGTAGGTGAGAGCTGGTCAAGGAGGCATGAGTTCCCTGTGATCTATCTCCCCTGATCCTCTTGCCATCCTTGTGCGTGAGATGATGGGCTTGATTCCCATGTCAAGGAGCTTCACTTCTCCCTCATTGATTGTCCCGTGCCTTCCTTGCAAAGAAGGTGTTGGCAAGCCTTGTGCACATATCTCAACACTGGGCTCCTGATCTGAGCAGCCTTGGACCTTGAGGAAGAGTACACTCCATCAGCGATTGTAGCCCAAACTCTTTGGAGTTCCTTCCTTGAAGTTCCACTTGGTTCCCTCCCATAGTGAACCCAAACAGATCTCCAACTGCCTAAAGGTCACCTTCTTCTCTCCCTTTGCCAAGAACGTGATCCATCCCAATCCTTGGTCCAACTCAGCTCGATCGAGCTCCGTACATGTGGTACCTCATTGAAGCTAAACTCACAAGTGAGCTCCTTGTAGACTCCATGCGGTAAGAGAAGAACTTGGCCAAGTGCATGTTCTTGAGACCAACTCCACATCTCAAAGATTCCAAGGGCCTTCATTGTGTCATCATGTGGGTACTTGGTCTCCACAAAGTCCATGGAGAAGAGAGCATTGTAGTGCTCTTGGTACATGGGGAGCTCATCCTCTCTTCCTCTGACTCCTCCTCTTCCATGGGCACATTCTCATTGCTCTCATGCTCACTCTCCTCAATCTCTTGATTGACTCTCACCCTCTTCTTCACTTGGGGACTCATCATTCTCCTCATGTGGGATGTTCACCCCAATTTCAAACTCTCCTACTTCGCTCTCACTACTGATAGGTGATGTACTTGCATTTTACATAGTTTTAGCACATCTTTTATGCATCTTTTGCATAGTTTTAGCTTTCATTTGCATCATATCTTGTTCCTTTTCTCTTCTTATGCATTCATGTTAGTTTTAGGTTGCATTTGCATACATATGCATGTTTGGTCCTTTGAAATAGGTCTTTTGGAGCATTCTGGAGCATATGGGACACAAGGAGCATGGAGGGACTTGGCACATGGAAGCAGCTCAACTGGATACGCAAAGGAAGAAGGGAGAAGCCATCTTGAAGACCAGCTCGACCGTCCACTCGACCAACCGGTCGAGTTCCTCAACTCGACCGGCCAAGCTTCAACTCGATCGAGCTGGGGAGTCAAAGTCAAACCCGAAAAATGTTGCTTCCCCCTTGACTTCCCTTTGACCCTAAACCTAATCCTCTTTGTATTTAAAGGCTCTAAGCCACGAAAAAACCACCAAGCTTTAGATTATTTTGTTTTAGTTTCTTTTAATTTATTGTACTTTTACTTTTTAGAGATCTAATCCTCTCTTTGTGTTCTTGAAGCTCTTGCTTCTTGAATCTTAGATCCTGGATAATCTCTCTTTGTATTTGCACTTGCTTATTTCAATAAAAGTTGTTTAATTTCATCTCCTCTTTCTTATGATGTCTCTTTTATTGCATTTGCTTGTGTTTACATTCATGTGTAGTGAGTAGTTACCCATTGGGGTTTGAGATGGGATAGATTAGAGGTTTCATATGCTTAATCCTTCTAGCTTATGGTCTTAATCTAGATTCTCTCTCTTTTGGATAGATCTTAAGGCTACATGACCACTACCCCTGGCTTGTAAGTCCTTAGGCGACTCCCCACACGAAAGTGATGGCATTCGCTGGAAAAGATCCACTAAGAGCTCCAATATCTCTTGCTCTAGACAATAGAGGTCTAAGGGGTTGGATGGATTAGTTTGGGCAATGATCCTATAGCCTCCAAGGTTTGATTCTCACTGGCTAACCCCCTGTTTCTGAGATCATTCCTTGGTTGATAGCCTCCACCTTGGGAAAGGGTTGGCTAGGCATTGAGAAGCCCAATATCAAGAGAAGCCTTGATACAAGGAGTTTTAAGAGCTAGATTGATTAAGTGTAGATTCCTTTGATTGCAAAACCCTGTCTTGAACCCTAATTCTCTCTTTATCTTGTTAAAGTCGTCACCTTTAGCTTTGTTTGTCTCAACTCGTCCCTAAACTCGATCGAGCTGGTACTTTGCTCTGACTCGACTCGAGCTCTTGGTCGAGCTGACACTTCACTGCTTTGTTTACTTTTATTGCACTGCTTTTCATTATTTTTAGGTTGTTAGTGTTACTTCAAATCTATAACTGCTTGCTTGACTTTCTGGTTGTTTCATATTCTCAAAGAGTGACAAGTTTCCCATTTTGGATTGATAACCTCTTATACTTCAATGACTATGATGGTTAAGAGGAATTGATTGATTGTGTTGCACCATACCATATCATCTTTATTCACCCTGTTTGCATTCCACCTCATTTCATATCACATCCACACAAAATCCTATCATCAATTTGGCGCCGTTGCCGATTTGGGAATATTTTTGTTGCATTTGAGTTTCAAACACACTTGGACGATCAAGCTATACCACCCCTGTTCTATTGTACTGCTGGGTTTTTGTCTCTTTTTGCAGGTGTATGCGAACTCGATCGAGTCGGTCAACTGAAGACTTGGTCGAGCTAGACATTACAACGGGTAGAAAGAGGGTTCAGAGGTCACAGAGGGTACAAGAGGAACCTGAGGTGCTTGTTGCTGATACAATGGATGTACCAGAGGGGAATGGAAACCCTTTGGGCATGGACTCGGTCGAGAGGTGCCACAACATGGGTATGGACAAAAGAACAATTACCAAGGACCACAAGGCACTTTCCCTGGACAACAAATGAATATCCCACCAGGCTTCCCCCACCAACCGCCCCAGCCTGCACCTTCACAAGAGAATGAGCTCAAGCAATGCTAAAGCAACTACTTCAAGGGCAAGCTGATGGGGTAGTGGACACAAGCAAGAAGCTAGCTGAAATAAACTCTAAGATCGAGAACCTCAACACAAGGGTTTACTCTCTGGAGAATCATGCTTCTTCTGTTGCTGCTGCTACAAAGCAAGGACAACTACCTGGTAAAGCTATTCAGAACCCCAAGGAACAGTGCAAGGTCATCTTCACTCAAGAAGGACTTGTTGAAGAAGAGGATCAAGAAAGGGTCATTGAAGATTTTTGTTTACTGCTGAATGATGAAGAGATTGTTGCTGCTGAGGCTCCTGGAGTCCAGATTGATCAACCAGAAGTGCAGCACCTACTGTGGCCATTCACACTTCACCAGTTGAGCTCGCACGACAAGCTCGATCGGCAGCTCGATCGAGTCCAACTCTAGCTCGATCGAGTCCGACCTCTTCTGTCCGACAACCTGTTTTGCTTGATCCTTACCAACCGGTTGCCGCTTCCTCGTCTCGCCTACTTAGTCAAGGTCACAAGGAAGTGATTCACAAGTTCAGAAGAGATCTCAGTGGGATTGGAATTGAGTTGCCTCCTATGGATAGCATGAGTGAGGCATTTGATCAAATGCAAATGGTCAAGGATGTTCTAGCCAACAGTGATAAAGTTTCAGAGGTCCTACAAGAGTCTACTCATCAGTTCAACCTGCTTACTTCACCCACCTTCCTACCAAAGGTCAAGGATCAAGGGAAATTCACTCTCCCTTGCACACTTGGGCATCTTGAGATTGACAATGCCTTAGTGGATTCTGGAGCAAGCATCAATCTGATCTCTCTCTCCATGGCAGAGAAGCTAGGCATAGCTGGAGCCTTGCAGCGCCCTACTACTTCAATCATGTTTGGAGATGCAACTTCTAAGTCTCCTCTTGGAGTGTTCAAGAACTATCACTTGAAAATTGGAGAATGCATCATCCAAACTGATCTCACTGTGATGGAAATGGAAGAAGAGAAGGATTTGCCTCTGTTATTGGGAACCCCTTTCCTTAGTACAGTTGGCGCTTCAATAGACTTTCACAAGCAAGAAGTGATCCTTCACAAGGTGAATAGTTTGGTGTCATATCGCTTGCAGCCTAGAGGTTCAGACTTTTGTGCCACAATTGACAGTACCAATCTCAGTTCTAAGAGTCATGGAGCTACAAAGGTTGTGAAGGAAAGGGTTGACAAGGAACCAAGAGTTGGGAAGGATAAGGATGAGAGAGGACCAAGGATTGAGAAGCCACGTCTTGAGAGGGCTAGAGTTGAGAAACCACGATCTGATAGGCCAAGAGCTGAGAGACTTGTTCAAGCCCCTTGTGTGCTTGATGAAGAGAGCCTTCAAGCTTTGTTTGATGAGCCACTAGGAAGGGCTCTAAAGAAGGGGAGGATGCAGCCTCTAAGGCAAGACCAGGAGATAAAAGAAAGGATCCACCAGCTCAGGCCCCTTCAGTCAAGCCATCTCAGCTCACAATGACTTTGTTCCCCACCAAGTTTGAAAATGGGAAGATTGAGTACAAGATAAGGTACAAGGGGAGATCAAGGCCATTCTCTAGAGCCAAGGCCTTGGTGACTTCAGAACAGTCCAGGGACCCAACCAAGCTAAAGGAGCTTCTGTCTCAAGTCCTCACTATCACCCTTGATGGTGGGACTAGCTCAACCAATGCCTAAGAAGGTAAAGGTCAAGCTATGGGACCTTAAACAAGCTCACTTGGGAGGAAGTCCCATGTTTATCCTTGTACATATTCTATTTATGCAATTTCTATCTATCTTTATGTTTTAACCTTTGAATAAGTTAAGTTTAGGTGTCAAGAAGCCAGCTCGACCGACAGCTCGATCGAGCTAGAAACCAGGGCAACTCGATCGAGCTTCACAACTCGACCGAGGTAAGTTTTTGAATTTCAAATTCATAACCGTTTTCCTTGGTCAAGGGAGTGGGTCCCACAAGCTGATTTTGGTCCCCCACTACCCTAATTTGATCAGAGAATCCCTAGCTTTCTTGTCCCTCTTTATTTCACTTTTAATCTCAACCACACATCTCAAACACTCTCTTCCCCATAACTCGATCGAATCCACTCTCTCTCTCCCACAATCTTAAATTTCTGAAATCATCCTCTCTCTCTTCACCACAAGAAATCGAATTTCAATCTTTCTCTCTTAAGTTTTTGCGATTTCTCTTGTTCTCTTCTTGTTTTGCTTGTTCTTTGTTTACTGTCTTCAATTCCTCATTCAAGCAAGGTATGAACCCTAAACCCTTGATCCTTCATCTCGATTTCAACTATTGCTTGTTTCCCTTTGATTTTTGATTGCATGTGTCCCTTGTGGACTTGTTCTTGAGTAATTGCCCTCATTTTCGCCTCTGCTGTATAATCTTGTAATTTGTTCACCTCACCTCTGTTTTGCCTTAAACTTGTTGCATGTGCTTGAAATTGAATTTGAGTTTGGTATTGGTTAAGATGCTTGTCTTTCTACTAGTTGCTCATTGTTCCATTTACTAGTTGTTCTTGGTTCAATTTGATTGATTAGCATCTTTTCCAGCTCTTATTTGAATTAGGTTCGGTTATACTCTGTTTTCACCAACTCGATCGAGTTTGTCACTCGAGTTTTTTGACTCGATCGAGCTGAGTGTCGAGTTGACCAACCGATTATTGCAACTCTAATTCTTTGAATTTTTGATGCATTTCAGGTACTTTAGTGAAGAAACAGAGTAACAAGATGACAAACAGTGAGGGAAGCCGCGCTTCACAGAGGAATGGTTGAGGGTGATCAAGCAATGCAAGAGAGAAAGGCTTAAGATGAAGCCGATTTGAAGAGATGATCAGAGGATGGAAGTCTGATGCAGAGGATATGTCTATCTGAGGAACAGTCTGAGAGTGAGAGTGAGGGAAGAAAGGAGAACCAAGAAGAGGAATGATCCCTATCAGTAGTGAGAGTGAGCAAGGAGAGTTTGAAATTGGAGTGAACATTGTTCAAGAGGAGGGAAATGGTCTCCAAATGAGGAAGAGTGAGGAAACTGAGAGTGATGAGGAAGGAGAAGAGGTGAACAATGGTTGATGAAGATGACAAGAGAACCAAGATGAGCCAATGGAAGAGGCTGAGTCAGAGCAAGAGGAGGATGAGCTCCCCATGTACCAAGAGCACTACAATGCTCTCTTCTCCATGGACTTTGTGAGACCAAGTACCCACATGATGACACATGAGAGGTCTTGGATCTTTGAGGATGTGGAGTTGGTCTCAAGAACATGCACTTGGCCAAGTTCTTCTCTCACCGCATGGAGTCTACAAGGAGCTCACTTGTGAGTTTTTGGCGTCATGAGGTATCCACAGTATGAGAGCTCGATCGAGCTGATTGGACCAAGGCTGGGGGATCACTTCTTAGCAAGGGAGAGAAGAAGAATGGTGACCTTTAGGCAGCTTGAGATACTGTTTGGGTTCACTATGGAGAAGGTAACCATGGAACATCAAGGAAGAAGAACTCCAAAGAGTATGGGCTTGATATCACCATATTTTACATGATTTTACTATATAATTACTTATGTTTTCAAACGGTTTTTGCAAGATTCTTTGCCTTTAGAGGTAGTTTTCTTGTATTTGTGGGATTTGAAGTCTTTGTAGGTGAAATAATCAAAAAGGATGCAAAAAGGAGTAAAAGAGCCCTAAATCAAGATCCATGCAAGTTTCCAAGTCAAGAAGACATTTTATCTCCAAGTGTTAGTTCTCGCTTGCGCGCAGAACGAAGCTTCGGAAGTTTGGCCGCGCGCGGAGGAGTTCCCGACGTCCAAAAGTTACGATCTTGATATGGAAAGATAGATACTTGAGTCATGCATCACGTCGAAGTGGAATGAAGCCATTTGGATCAACTATGAGGCCTAGACTTATTTTCTACCGAGACATGTCCGGTAAGCGAGTAAACGAAGCCCATGGAGGATTTGGAGTGTCTAATGGCCCGAGCAGCAGCGCCAAAGGCCTTGATCGAATAGAGAAGAGGCCTGGCTAATGTTTGGAGCTTTCCTTGGTACAATGTCGGCCCATACACGACGTGGAGAAGAAGGCTTTGCTCACGGGAAACTTTCCTTTTCCGGCATGAAGAAAACCCTACGCGACTTCGCCCATATATACATGTTTTTAGCCGCTGAAGAAGAGAGAGTCGAGAGTCAAAATTATCAAAGAGTGTACGTGTGAGAAGAGAGTTCAGAGGAGAGAAGCCCTAGGAGATCGTCCAAGAAGAAGGAGGCGCCGCTCAACTCTTGTTCTTTCTTTTTCATTGTTTCCATTTCTATAAACTTGATCTTAAGAGTTTTCAAGGGAGAATCCGACTTTGTTCATCAATAGAGAAGCTTTCTTCATCCCTTTATCTCTTTTAATACTTGCATAATGTTTACAATCATGCTTTGCTTGCTTGTTTGCATCATGGCCGAGTAGATCTCTTAGTTAGGCCGAGGAGATCTATGGTGGCCGTGATGATTTGATTGTGTTGCAACTTATTGGGATTTATCTTATGGATCTTCACCTTTACTTGAGCTTAATGCATGATTACTCTACCGTACATCTAGTAATCTGATCTTAGAGAAATAGAACCACGACAGTGCTGAATCTAGATCTCAAAACTAGTATTTGGTGAGCAATAGATCATAGCCAACGAAAGCTGAGTTATGGTTTATTGTGAACAATTGAATCTTGATCACCTTTAATGCATGTTTGCAATTCTAATAGCCAACGAAAGCTGAGTATATTAGGTTGTTTTAAACATAGTGGTTGGAGCCACGACAGTGGAAAGACCATACACTAGTGATTCATGTTCAAGACGGCTCTACACACATCCCATGCAACTATCTTTTCATCATTGCTCCATATGATTGTCCTTTGCCTAACTCTTGTTTTAAATTGTTTACAAACTCACTCACATTTCTTTTGTTTTTTTTCTCATTCTAGGTCCAAAACCATCCTCATATTGCGAGCTAGCTACAAACCAATCTCCAAAGGTGTTAAGTGAGAACACTTCCTCCTCGTGTTCGACCCCGACTACAACACGGCTGTGCACTTGCAGCTCATTAGTTGGGTTTATAAATTGTGAAAATTTGAGGCAATCTAAACCCGTCATCAGGGCTACAATAGCTGAAGAGGGGTACTCTTCTCAAGGTCCAAGGCTGCCCAGATCAGAAGTCCTGTGCTTAGATATGTCCACAAGGCTCTTGCAAACACCTTCTTTGCAAGGAAAGCCACTGGAACAATCAATGAGGGAGAAGTGAAGCTCCTTACCATGGGAATCAAGCCCATCATCTCACGCACAAGGATGGGAAGAAGATCAGAGGAGACAGGGCACACGCAGGGAATCTCATGCCTCTCCTTGAGCAGCTCCAAGCCTACAAGGTCACAGCTTACAACACTAGGCACCAAAGAGGAAGAAAGCTTAGTGTTGGAGGGGTGATCACACCAATTCTTTGTGCAGCAGGAGTTCAAGTGGACAAGAGAAGGTCTACTCCACCAGGTTGGATGGACATCAAGTTTTGCAAGACCAACCTCCTCATTGAGCACAAGGAATTGGATGGGAGATTCCAATTCAAGTTCACACACCCCACGGCTGGACTCTCCAAGCTTCTTCTGCCCAACCCTGAGCTCACCACGGTCCTAGGAGGTACAAACATTGACTTCAGACCCCCTGTGTACACTTTGTTGGGCATGAAGCAGATTTGCAAGAAGAAGAGATCGAGCTCGATCGAGCTGAGGATCGAGCTGAGGCTCAAGCTGAAGATGAGTGCAGGAAAGCGCTGATTGGGTGAGCCTGAGTGCTATTACTTTGAGGAGTATGAGGCTCCAAGGATGAACCCCTCTGTTGTGGCTGCCACAAGAGGATTGGACTTCTCCAAAAGTTCAACAAGTGGCAAGGGAAAGCCATGGAAAGATGCAAAAGTCCATGGACAAGATGGTGAGCAAGATCAAGAAGCTTGGAGAAGAAGGTTCTGGTTCTTCAAGCAAGAAAAGAAGTCACCCAAGGCTCCCACTTTCCCTAGGAGTAGCACTCCTCACCACTCAAGGAGGCTCCTGCCCAAGAGCCTCACAGAGCCTCTTCTTTCGAGCCAAGGGAAGGAGAAGACAACACGCAGAGAAGGAGGAAGACTTCCAAGGCCAGACGCTCCAGCTCGACCACCGGACTCGATCGAGTCCAAACAGAGGAAACTCAACTCGATCGAGCTGACGGTCGAGTTGACCTGGAGGAGCCCCAGTTCGAGGATCCGGGATTTGAATACGATCCCAGCCTTACCAGGAGCCTCCCCGGAGTAGATGGAACCCCTATGGACAGTACGAGCTAGCCATGCTCCACCAAGGCCAAGGAAGCCACACACTTTCAAGATGAAGAAGAGGAGGAAGAGGAGCCGCAAGCTCGATCGAGTGAGCCATGAGGCAACCCCAGTTGCATGGAGTGCTCCTGATGGCCGTCTCCCATCTCCAGACCACGACCTAGCCTCCCAGTTCTTTGGGGGGCACTGAGGTATCCAAACACCAACCCTTGTATATACCATTTCATATTTTCTTGCATTTGTTCTTTTTTTCTTGGTTTTGCCCTCTTGAATCTTTCACTAAATTTTCTCACACAAGGGACTGTGTGATTTAAGTTTGGGGGAGGGTTCAAGAGATGATTTAACCTTGTTTTCTTTGTTCTTAGTTTTTCATTTATCTTTTGCATAGAAAAACCAAAAAAATCATAAAATTTTCAAAAAATCCAAAAATATTTTCATCTTTTTGCATTCATATTTGTTAGACTTGTTTAGGATTGCATTTTTCACTTGCATTGTTGATTTGACTTTGAAAACTTGTTCCATCTTTTGCGATTTCTTGAGTGCCCTGTTTTTAGATTCTTTTGTGCATTAGGGTGAGATTGATTGAGCAGCAAGAACCATGTTTATCTTGATCATATCACTGCATGCACATCTCATTCAACCATTGCTGTGATTTGATGCATTTCCCTATCTATTTGAACCATAACTTGATCTTTAATTACCAATGCTTGCATTTGATTTCAACTCATGGCTACCACATACATATCTGGACATTCTTTACCATTTTCATATCCTTTTGCTTGTCCAGATAGCTGATCTCCATCTTTGAGACAGTTACCACACCTTAAACCTAAGCCTTTTCATTTCAAACCCCATATTATCTCTTGTGCGATTGTGAGAACCTTTCTTGGCTTTGCTTAGCATAAGGTGTTGTGTTTAAACCGGCAGGGGCAGTAGTTCTAGTTGTCTAGTTCTCTTGGGATTGTTTTCAGGCTAAGTTTGGGGGTGCCAACTCGAGCTCGATCGAGTTGGGTGTCAAAAACCAGAAAAGTGGTAAAAGTTGGGAAAATCCAAAGGAAAAAGAGTTTAGTTAAGTCCAGGGTTGGCAGTGTTTAGCAAATCAACAAATCGCTGCATTCTAGAATCTCTAAGTTGGACATTTAGCAAATCGCTTTTGAGGACATGTTTTTAAGTGTTGAATCAGCTTATTTTCAAACCTCATCTCTTTCTTGTTCTATTTGTTTGCTTGAGGGCAAGCAAAGTTCAAGTTTGGGGGTGTTGATGTACTTGCATTTTACAAAGTTTTAGCACATCTTTTATGCATCTTTTGCATAGTTTTAGCTTTCATTTGCATCATATCTCGTTCCTTTTCTCTTCTTATGCATTCATGTTAGTTTTAGGTTGCATTTTCATACATATGCATGTTTGGTCCTTTGAAATAGGTCTTTTGGAGCATTCTGGAGCATATGGGACACAAGGAGCATGGAGGGACTTGGCACATGGAAGCAGCTCAACTAGATATGCAAAGGAAGAAGGGAGAAGCCATCTTGAAGACCAGCTCGACCGTCCACTCGACCAACCGGTCGAGTTCCTCAACTCGACTGGCCAAGCTTCAACTCGATCGAGCTGGGGAGTCAAAGTCAAACCCGAAAAATGTTGCTTCCCCCTTGACTTCCCTTTGACCCTAAACCTAATCCTCTTTGTATTTAAAGGCTCTTAGCCACGAAAAAACCACCATGCTTTAGATTACTTTTGTTTGAGTCTCTTTTAATTTATTGTACTTTTACTTTTTAGAGATCTAATCCTCTCTTTGTGTTCTTGAAGCTCTTGCTTCTTGAATCATAGATCCTGGATAATCTCTCTTGTATTTGTACTTGCTTATTTCAATAAAAGTTGTTCAATTTCATCTCCTATTTCTTATGATGTCTCTTTTATTGCATTTGCTTGTGTTTACATTCATGTGTAGTGAGTAGTTACCCATTGGGGTTTGAGATGGGATAGATTAGAGGTTTCATATGCTTAATCCTTCTAGCTATGGTCTTAATCTAGATTCTCTCTCTTTTGGATAGATCTTAAGGCTACATAACCACTA